GTAACCCGTCTTGAAGTCAAAGGAGAAAACCAACATATATCCATTAAACCGAAACACACGTAAGAATATAGAGTCCATAACATAAGAGTAGTACAACATTGGGCCCTCTAGAATATAAGCAACACGCAGATTATGCCAAGGAATAACAATGTATCCCTACAAATGTATGTCTGCAGACTGGATTTTAAAACATTGAACAGCCAAACTTCAATTAGCATTGACAGCTTTTTACTAAAGTCTTAAGTTTTACAAAGTGAATCCTTTAAGATGAAAATTTTAATGGCACTGTCTGTCAATAAGAGAATGATTTTTCTCTACAGCTAGATGTAAGAAAATTGTGTGGTGTTTGTTGACCTAGTCTTGCCAAAATTTGACCTATTAGGTTAGAAATGGTACATTGTTCAATAAGTATTGTCATGAGATATACTCTATATATTATGAATAATACCTTTCTCAAATAGACATCAAATAACAGTACAACTATGGATAATTGTCATTTTCTCATGGAAAGCAGATAATAGTCAAATTGTCAAATAGTCAAATAGATTGAAATTGGGGAAGCAGATCACTGATAAATAGAACTTGGAAAAGTATGATAAGGGCTAAGCGAAAAAAGTTCTTAATCGCAGATTACAATATTAATCAAGTATTTCTGGGTTGAATGTTAAATAGGACAAATTGAAAATATTTAGGTGTCAAAATTAAGTTCATCTCCCCTGGTTTGGATCTTAGTTGATAGTGTATAAACTATCTAAACACATTCTGAAGATGTTACTGCAGTACAGGCCTGAGGTAACATAGGAATTATGTTAAAAAATGGTGGTAGTAGCAAATTTCTGAAAAATACTACTCTTAGATTAGATTAGTGTTGTGTTTGTGATAATTCTTACTATTTAATATTGGTGAAATACTCAAAATCATGTGAGTTGAATATGAAACATTTAAAACAGGAAGTTCCTGTGTACATGATTGGACAATTACGGCTGTTGAAACGGAAATGACTACAGTTTCCTAAGTTTTTCTCCATACGAGACCCACATTTATCATTTAACAAGTAAAAGCAATTTTAGTCTTGACACCTAATTACATGGATTATTCTTCTATTAAATAGATGATGATATCAACTCACTTGATTTGCTTTGTTAAATGGCCTTCAATTGAACACCAGATAAATTGGTGGTATGGATATGGGGAGGCCATTGTTATAAACAAATGAGAATCCAGTCAGTAATGTCTATCAAATTAGGATTGTATAAGTGGTTGTGATGTTAATCTATTATATTTGTATGAGGGTAGAGTAGTCAGAATTATTGATATTCTTGTTCCTACGAGATGTCATGGCAATTTATATTTCATCTAATAGCCAACTCTCAATTGTTTTATGCAAATGGCTTGTAGAGTACGTAGCAATCATCAAATAGGATCCCAGTGGATGACATTTCAGTTAAAGGGTAGAGAACATGAGAGCGTGTAGTATTTATTGCTCACTTAAACTCACTGATGATGGTTGATTTGATGCATTTAAAAGTCTGAGTCAGAGATCATTAGGTCCTTGTCAGTAATAGTCAGTGTTGAAGCAGTGGAAACTGTGTGGTGATTATTAGTAAACTGTACCAGTGTACTGTAATGTGCAGCATGGCTGTATATATTACAGCAACTATCAACATCCTGAAGTTTGGTGTATTTGTTAACTATATAGATTTGACGTCTGTCAATGTTGAGAAGTTACAGATGTGTAAAACGTCATCATTGATTGTAGTTAGCAATGGTAAGCTAGTTTCTATTATTACTTTATACTTTACACTGCTGTTATTCCATCTGTTTTTCTCGTCTATTTATATTGGTTTTCATACTTTGTCCTAATTTCAACATATATTTCAGATTCCTCATTTTATCTTAAATATATCTATTCAGAATAACTTGTGATATTTATCCTCAAGATTCAACCTTACTCAAGACATCTTGATTCATTTAATCTGGTTCTAGAAATTGAAATAATCTGCTCTATAGAGCTGTTCTTCATTGATCATAGTTGATGGACTTGAGGTTTCTATTGGATTTAATTTATAAAATTTGGAAATTCATGTTTCATGATTTAGTGCTGTCCTTTGGTTTGAAATTTTAAAGACAGGTAACTGTTAGACTGTTTAAAAGTTAAAATGCAAGACATGATATGGCATAATGATATTCAATATGTATTAGAGAAATACAGTTACTGATATGCAGAAGGTCTTATCTGTCCCAGGAATTGCTGGTAATATATTTAAGATTCTTCAGATTTGACACCCTTGTCATCAGTCATCAGATCAATTGATTTTTTTAAAAAAAAAAACATGGCTCATAACATGAAGTTGGAAGATGTCAAATATTGCTTATAACAATATAAGAAATATGCTTTTAGTTTTTGTATTGCAGTTGGTTTTAAGTTTCAGAGGTTTTCTTTAGATATTCTATTTGCGTAGTAACAGTTGATTTGAGACATTAAGAATTGATCGAATACCAGATGAAGAATTCTATTGGTATCTTCTGGATATGGGCTTAGCCATGAAATGAGAGTCACTGCCCTTTGATTCCTTAACGTACACAAATGTGATTATGGTAGCGTGATCCAACATGATTATATTGTTTATATTCTGCTTGTATAATTGCTTTGTGATAAATGCCATGTCTTGGTATGATATTCATGAATGATTCAAGAGATTGTAATGAACAATTATTCCCCTGCTTTAAGCTGATCAGCTATTTAATACACGGCTAATTGAAGCCATATTTTAAGAGAAAAATGGGAAATATTTATCCTACTAGACAAGTTTTTCCTTAACTAGGAATTATTCTTGCTTTATGTCTGATTTTTGATTGGAGGATTATTGAAATGTAGTTTTCTTCTATCAAGACAAATATGTCAAAATATCAATAAATATTGAGGTTGAGGAAAATTAGTTATTCTGATCAGTGTTAGATAATAGAAAATTATAATGTCTAGCTTGAGATGTTCTTCAAAGACTTCTTATTTTCTAGAATAAAAAGTGCTGAATGTGCAATATTGTGTGGGATTGATGTGTTGTCTGCTAATACTGTAGTTTTTAGATTCTCAATGAAAATCCAATATCAGGGAAACATTTTGTCATTCATTTGTCATACGTCAAGCACAGATTAATGACATATTGATGCTTAAAGAACTTTTGCTTTCATTCTTTTGTGGGATGCTGATATATTTTATGCTAATAATGTAATTTTTAAATTCTTGGTGAAAGTCCAATTTCAGGACAATAATATAATATTTTGTCAAACAGTTGTCAAGACATTAAGAATATTGACAAATTGATGCTTAAAAAATATTCCTAATATGCATTATTTGGCATTTGTCTTAAATGAAACTTGTAGTGATTTAACAATCAAAGAGACTTGTACAAATCTGGTTGAATAAATTTTCCATTAACCTCCCAGTTGGGATTATATGTTATTATTGGAATGTTATATAAGCCTTGTTGCTGACAGCTGCCTTATTTATTCTAGCATATTTACAACAAAACCATGTTGTCTTTTTGTTAGTAAATCAACAGACTGTATTCAATATTTTAGTGGACATACATTGTTATGGTGTCATGAAGTGCAACTTTCACTGTCACTTTAAAGTGTGTTCAAATTATATCATGACTCAGGTGTGGAAATTTTTCTTTTGAAATCACAGCATTTTCATTAAATGACTAGATATACTAAAGTAGGGTGAACAAATTTACCATCAACATATATATAGATACAACAAGAAACCCACAAGATCTAATTATTACTGGCAAGACCATGAGGTGCATGTAGTGTCATCTGCAATTTTTCAGTCATCGGTGGTGTGTTCAAATCAATATCATCTAACAGTTGATCAGATTCTTCTAGCTGATGCCAGATGTGAACAATCTGTTAATCTAAATGCTCTCCGAGTATGTCAGTCTCATGGTTTACCTGAGGCTCTCTTTAGACTAGTTTAGACAGATTAGCCATTTCATGAGTTGATTTGAGTCTTGAATATACGTAAATAGTTTTCAGAAGTACTAGAAATGTACAAAAATTCAAACATTACCATTCAAAGTTCAATTATTCTGGACACTCATGGATTTGAAGGCTAAAATTTTGATGGTGCTTTGTGAACACTATTATAGTTAAAAATTTCTTGTTACTGAGACTAAAGTAAAATTGGTCAAATCAAATGAATGGCGAATCTGTCCCTTTAAGAAGGTAAAGAGACTCATTAATATTTTAAACTAATATTCAAATTCATATAAAAAGAATCTGTTAAAATTTATTTAACAATGAAAGATTGAGAACAGAAGCCTATTAAATACTATAATTTATTCTATAAAGAAACATTAGAAATAACATGTTTCCTGTCACAATAGTTTATAATCAGTATTCTAACAATGTCTTTATGTTATCACTATACCAATATTGAACTAGTCCATAGATTCCTGTATAAAGTAGCCATTAAAAGCTTTCTACTGTTACTGATAACAATCTGTCTTTAGGGACAGTCCACAGAAATGACCTGATCTCAAGTACTCTAGTGCTAAATCAATGAGTAGAACTTGATTAACCTGGATTACAATATGAGGATAATGTGGTACTGTACTCGGAATAATATTGTAATAACGGTATAATACTATCAACTATTATTACGGTACTGATTTCTTTATAATGAAATAATATTATAATATTCACTTCCACATCAATTTATCTGGTACCATATGGAAGTTAGGCCTATTTATAATCGACCTATTAACATGATTATTGTGAACTTGTTTTTGTTCCGTACAGATTTAATTGGAATTGATTCTGTCTACAATTGTTATTAAATTATAATCTGTTTATATTTATCTGTTGATTTGTTTTAATGGTCTTCTTTTTTAACTCATTCCAGATCCAAACAATATCACTAACTTTCTAAGAAGAAAGAAAACAAGGAAGAGATTTTTTCAAGTCCAGGCGTCATCGCCTAAATAGAATGCAAGATGGCGACGCTATCGCTGAAGATCAGCGTTGTTCAAAGCAATGCAGTAAAAACTATGCAATTCGAACCCTCAACTATTGTTTATGATGCTTGTCGTATGATTAGAGAGAGGATTGCTGAAGCACAACAAGGAAATCGTGAGTAAAGCTTTTAATATTTGATATAACTTAGCCATTTAGGCAGACGTCTGTTTTCAGGGAACATTTTGTCTTGCCTTCAATTACATATTGATAATATGCCATGTTTTCTTAGTGAAAAAACACAAAAGGTTACAAAATATTCTGTTCAATGAACATATGGCTGGTTTTAATTTACTATAAGTATTGTCATAAAACATTATTTCTCTATGTCATTGATAGAATTATATCTTTTTTGAAAATTAAATGTCTTAACAGATCTATTAGTTCTGCCACAAAATAATAAAAGTAACATTTTAAATACTCAATATACTCAAACACTCAGGTAATATTATGATAATGTAATAATAGTTGATGACTGTATTCTCAAGTATACAAGATATATTTGTGTGATAAAAACAATAGTATTTTGTCTCTTACTTTGTTCACACATGTGTGTAATTATTAGATAGATATGATTCATACAGTCCTCAGAGTTTTTTCTTCAGTATTACATATATTACACTATTCTCTTTGTCTCTATAATACTCTAATAATACCTATATCTCATTATGTACTCTTCTCAAATATCTATCTTATTATGTTGTATCTATTCTAATATCTATCTCATTATGTTATATGTACTCTAATATCTCATTATTTTGTATCTACTCTAATATCTACATCATCATGTTATATGTACTCCAATGTCTATCTTATTATTTCATATACTCTCATTATGCTCATTATGTTATATGTACTCTAATACCTATCTCATTATGTTACACATACTCTAATATCTATCTCATTATGTTATATGTACTCTAATACCTATCTCATTATGTTACAAGTACTCTAATATCTATCTCATTATGTTATATGTACTCTGATATCTATCTCATTATGTTGTATGTACTTTTATACCTATCTCATTATGTTACAAGTACTCTAATATCTATCTCATTATGTTGTATCTATTCTAATATCTATCTCATTATGTTACACATACTCTAATATCTTTCTCATTATGTTGTATGTATTCTTATACCTATCTCATTATGTTACACATACTCTAATATCTATCTCATTATGTTATATGTACTCTAATACCTATCTCATTATGTTACAAGTACTCTAATATCTATCTCATTATGTTATATGTACTCTAATACCTATCTCATTATGTTACAAGTACTCTGATATCTATCTCATTATGTTGTATGTACTTTTATACCTATCTCATTATGTTACAAGTACTCTAATATCTATCTCATTATGTTGTATCTATTCTAATATCTATCTCATTATGTTACACATACTCTAATATCTATCTCATTATGTTCTATGTACTCTAATACCTATCTCATTATGTTACACATACTCTAATATCTATCTCATTATGTTGTATGTACTCTTATACCTATCTCATTATGTTACAAGTACTGTAATATCTACATCATCATCTTATATGTACTCCAATGTCTATCTCATTATTTTATATACTCTCATTATGTTATATGTACTCTAATACCTATCTCATTATGTTACACATACTCTAATATCTACATCATCATGTTATATGTATTCCAATGTCTATCTCATTATTTTTTATACTCTCATTATGCTCATTATGTTATATGTACTCTAATACCTATCTCATTATGTTACACATACTCTTAATATCTATCTCATTATGTTATATGTACTCTAATACCTATCTCATTATGTTACAAGTACTCTAATATCTATCTCATTATGTTATATGTACTCTGATACCTATCTCAATATGTTACAAGTACTCTAATATCTATCTCATTATGTTGTACGTACTCTTATACCTATCTCATTATGTTACAAGTACTCTAATATCTATCTCATTATGTTGTATGTACTCTTATACCTATCTCATTATGTTACAAGTACTCTAATGTCTACATCATCATGTTATATGTACTCCAATGTCTATATCATTATTTTATATACTCTCATTATGCTCATTATGTAATATGTACTCTAATACCTATCTCATTATGTTACACATACTCTAATATCTACATCATCATGTTATATGTACTCCAATGTCTATCTCATTATTTTATATACTCTCATTATGCTCATTATGTTATATGTACTCTAATACCTATCTCATTATGTTACAAGTACTCTAATATCTATCTCATTATGTTATATGTACTCTAATACCTATCTCATTATGTTACAAGTACTCTAATATCAATCTCATTATGTTGTATGTACTCTTATACCTTTCTCAATATGTTATATGTACTGATATTTATCTCATAGTACTCTTAATATTTATCTCATTACCCTATATGTACTCTTAAACCCTTTTCATTATGTTATAATGTACTCTAAGACCTGTCTCATTATACAAACTAATTGTAAAGACTTAATAATATATGTACATCATTTGTTGGCATCTGGGAAAAAAACTTTCCAAATAGGTCCAATGTTTACAGAATTCATAATGACTCTTTCTCCTAACCCAGGACATTGTAAAATCAACAGGCATTCATCTAATTGCAAAAAGATTTTTTCTGGTCATATTTCTCAAAATTATGGTGGCCATAGTGCCAAACTTATGTTGGTGAGTGATGAAAAACTAATTGTGATATATATGATTGGAGATATTCTTTTGTAAACTTTTGTCACATCCATAGGTGTCAACAATGAGTCAAATAAGTCAAGTATAAGCTATCCGGATGTCAAATTCGTATTTTAAAATATAAGTTATTTCATGGAAAGATTATACGAATTTATTGCTTTAAAGGAACACATTAACATAAAATTTAAATTTTTAAACTTGGTCAATGAGAAAATAAATTATCATCAGTGGATTACTTGGTGTCCAGAATCTCTGTACAAGATGATAAAGTCATTAAATTAAGTTATTATGGTTAAGTTTTTCAATATTTTCCTTTAGTTTTATGGACTTCACAGATTATAGAGGAATTCTGTTTAATGGCTGCAAGCATGAATTGATGAATATAGATTCATTTTAGACTCAGATTAAAAATGTAGATTTTATGTTTTATGAGGTAATATCGCTTTAAAAAAGGTATATATCTAGAGTTGATGAATACCAGGTGATAACTCATTACTTTAATAAACATGATACTTAAAAACATAGATAATATCATAAATATCTTCATTACTCTACTGTATACCTCAACTTTAATTTATTTTTAACCAACAAGAATTTCAAGTTCATTTGTGTGTTCTTTCGAACATAATTCAGTTCTTTGAACTTAATTTTGTACATTAACATCAGTCAAATGTATTTGAAAAAATGTGCTTATATAATAGAACACATTTGAATCCATACAGAGAAATTTTTGTTTTTATTCTGCCAAATATCTTAAGCTTAAGAATTGAAATATTTTGCAAATTCATGATTTTATTAAGTTGATTTTTATGTAATATCACAACTAAAAAAAAAAATAAATGAATAAAAAATATCACAACTATTCATCTAACAAGGAAAAAATAGATAAGAGAATTAAGCCTAATTCTAAACATTTGACAAGGACAAATTAACATATTTTGCATATAACATCCTCATAAGGACTCTTTTTAATACCAAATAAGATTTGAGTAAACTCACTGAAAAAAAAAATCTGAATCTGTTTTTCAGTATAAAAACTATTACTAGGAAAATCAGTAAATCAACCTCATGACATTTTTTCTATGACTAGAATATTAAGACTCATATCAAGGTCTTGTGGTTAAAAGTGTTTATGTTAAAGGGAGTTATAAATAGAATCTATAATCTGTTAACTAATGAATGTATGTGGGAAGAGGTGAAATATATAAAAACACATATCTCACCTTCAAACATAGCCTACAGTTAATCATTATTTTTTCACTAATTAAACATATTTCGGTCAACATGTACATATTACGTATTGAAACTAATCGAAAAAAAAGGTGTAACTTATGTCTGGATTTGACATAAGGAAAATTGATGTCTAGAAAAGTTTGAGATTTTGTTACCTTCTACAATCTTATATTGAACAGAGCATTTGATTGGTTTATTGTTAAGTGACCTGAAACATGAGATGCATAGCAATATCATCAGATCATAATTGAATCAGTAAAAAAAGAAACATTTTAATTAGATTCATTTTATTTATGAATTCTCATTATGTACAAAGACAAAAAATTTGATATCTTGAATAATCTATAAACTATAGTTAAGAATAAAGTGGACTTTTGATATTTAGAATGACTAGTTGTAATGATATCATATTAATATGATTATTCTAACCTATATAGACAGCTGAACATAATTATAATAATTCTAATCAATTAACTTTCATTAACAAATTATTATAACCAGGACACTCCCATATTTCAAATTATTGACCTTTTATTTGGAATTTAGTGTCAACTTCCTTTAAAAAATCCTGTTTCATGTTGGGATGAATATAATGCTTAAACTACAATGAAATTCAATTTGAACCCTTAAGATAAAAATCCATGATACTAAAATGGCCAAGACTTGGAACTCATCTTGCTGAACAAAGACAAAATTTTCCTGATGCTAATTTTGAACTTCCTGATTTATACTTCCTTCTATGGACAACTATCAACAGGACAAAATTCCAAATTACCAAAATTAGCATCACAGGAAACCCAAGTGTAATAAGAAACAAAATGACATTAATTTGATTTGTACTTCCTTCCATAGACAACTATGACAAGGAAATGCATGAATTACTGTACTTCTTTATTTTTGCTTCATATTCTGTTATTGATAGTTGTAACTGTATCAATCAAAGACCTAACATGGATGTTCACAGCCACAGAGAACTGTAAATTGTGTAATAACAGTTTTCTATGTGTCAGAATGTTAATTTCATTTCAAGTTTACAGATGTACAATTTAAATATACATATATTGATATCTTCAATATATCACTCATCAATAAGGAATTTGAGGGTTTGACTGTGTATAATGATTTTATTTGATGTATCATGATATAACACTATTAGTTGTAATTCAAGTCTTGTTATCCTTCCTTCTTACTCTCTTTCCTTCCTTCCGTTATACATTGAGAGACATTAATCAAATAAAAATTGTAAATTTTCTCTCACTTCCTCATTTCTTCCAAAATTTCATGAAAAAATCCTAAATTTAAAACACTTAAAACTTATCTTGTGATGTCCGTTTTTATTTTCTTAGCATTTTGCTTAAATATTCAATTATATTGAATTATTTAGCATCAAATGTGAACAAATTTAGATGAAAAAATTGAAAACTATGAAAGGCTTGTAGAAGTAGGACTTTGTAAAAACCTTTAAGATGCCATAATGTTTGTGAGGCTCTATATAGCACAGTCGGTTAGAGTGTTGGTTCTTTACATGACATAATTTGCTTGGTAACATTGAGCAAATGATGGCTATGGGACTAATCTCGATCGGAGTGTGAAATAAGTTATCTTCACTCATAATTCCAGTCAACCCACCTGTAAATGGGTAGGGATATTCCAAGAAATATCAATATTAAGAGGTTTGGCTAAGGACCAGTGGGTAGATAGGATCCTTAACTGTGAATCTAAGTTGTTATCCTTGTAAAATATAGTTGTTTCTTTCTTTCTTTCTTGGTTCAGTTTAAAGATTCCAGGTAATATATATGTTATATCAAGGAATCTAATCAAGAATCTTCATATATTTTTAGTTACAAGAAATGGTATTGGATTCCTATATCTTATTTTAGTTAAATATAAAGATAGGAATATATATGATCTGTTATCATGCTATCAGATTATAGAACTATAAAACATGATAGCAGCTTCAAACTGTGATAGGTGCTTCAACTTGAGATTTCATATCAATTCTTAATTACCAACTGTAAAGTGTAGTATTTCTTGATATCTTAGATTCATTGGAAGCAAAAAACATTTGCGGTACTAAGTTTGTTTCTTTTACTATTTCAGCCTCAGAATTTGGTTTGTTTTTGGCTGATGAAGATCCTAAGAAAGGAGTATGGCTGGAACAAGGAAGAAGCTTAGAGTATTATCTCCTCAGAAATGGAGTAAGTTTCTTTCCTTTCATTAAGCATTCAGAACTGACTTTTGTCTCAAAACCAGTCTGATTTGAATGATATACTGACACGCTATAATAGAGACAGTGAGTGCTTCTATTTCAGCTGATTCTTTTTAGCTCACTTTCTGTGTATTTCTTGCAAGGTAATATGTCAACCTTGAATCTTATTACACATCTTTTTATTAAGTATAGATTTATTCATGTGTCATGTTGCTTATAATGAAAATTTCATCTTAATTAAAGGATTTGTTGGAATACAGAAAGAAACATCGTATATTAAAAGTAAGAACATTGGATGGAGCTTTAAAAACATTACAAGTAGATGACAGCCATACTGTTGGTGGTTTAATGGTTACTATTTGTACCAGAATGGGTAAGTTTAATACAACTGTGAACTACAAACCAATAATGAAGATTAATTGAATATGATAAATTGCTGGTCAAGTTTATCCTTTGATCATGTGCAAAATTTGAAGTAAACATCATCGAAAATACAAAATTTCATTCATTCATTCATTCATTCATTCATTCATTCATTCATTCATTCATTCATTCATTCATTCATTCATTCATTCATTCATTCATTCATTCATGCATGCATCCATCCATCCATCCATCCATCCATCCATTCATCCATTCATCCATTCATTCATTCATTCATTCATTCATTCATTCTTTTTACAGGTATAACAAACCATGAGGAGTATTCATTAGTAAGAGAATTAGCTGAAGATGAAAAAGAGAAAACTTTAACATTGAAACGTGACAAATCTATTGCTAAAGATCAGAAGAAACTTGAAGAAATGAAAAAGAAACTACACACTGATGACGATAGTAAGTGTTTTATTATTATTTTTTTTAATCATGCTATCATTACTTTATCTTTGAAGGAATATTCTTTGACGTCTGTATTTGAAAAATTCTGTTATAACACACCAATCAATAAGTTCATAGCCGTTCATAGACAGTTTTTATGTTGTTTTGTCAGAAAATTAAATCTTTGTTATAAAAAATGTTGGCTGCTCATTAAGATATCAAATTTATTCATTTTTTCTGGAAATAACTTTTCAATTTTTCCAATTATGGCATCATATTATTTTGCAACATCTTAACATGTCTGAGAGTTAAATTACCTAGTTTATATGCAAATTAGATGGATCATCCAGTAGGTTTTGTCGTTCCTGTTACTCTGCGAAAAACCTAAAAAGAACTAGATTTTGTTTGGGTTAGTGACGTTTTTTGTCAAGTTTCTGAGGACTTACAAAGTTCCCTTATTAAAACGATGCAAATGAAAGTTCAATATAAGTGTTTCTGAAAGACTAAAAATGTCTTTTAAATGGCATTATTTGACCAATTCTTAATTTATGTACCTATATTTTCAGTGAACTGGTTGGATCATTCTAAAACTTTACGAGAACAAGGAATAGACCAGAATGAAGTTTTATTGTTGAGACGAAAGTTTTTCTTCTCTGATCAAAATGTAGATGCTCGAGATCCTATTCAGTTGAATTTACTCTATGTACAAGTAAGTATTGGAAGTTGTACATTGATAAGTGTTTAACATAAAAATTTAGGTTTTGGAGGATCATGTTAACCTGTTAGTCATTGGACAGACCATTTTTTCCTATTTCTGTATCTATTTTAAGCAGTGATGACCACCATGATGAGGAAGGATGTATCAAGGTCACTAAACTTTCAAACTTTCTTGATAAAATGTTTTGACACTTTAAAAATGTCAATAACAAAGGATGTTGAAGCAGTTACATTACTAAATTTTTTAGGAAAGTATATGATTTGAAATGTTAATTTAATATTTTTCAGTCTCGAGATGCTATTTTGAATGGCACTCATCCTGTAAGTCTTGAAGAAGCTATAATGTTTGGTGGTATTCAGTGTCAAGTACAGTTTGGTGACCATGTTGATTCGAAACATAAATCAGGATTTTTAGAGTAAGTTTTACTGATTATTCATTTAGTAATTGGAATCGGTCAATGTTTGTTTCAAAGGTTTCTGAGGCTTCGATAGATATCAGAGAGTCTTATAGTTTACATCTTCATCTTCAGATGTCAGTGGTTCCTGTAATTAGTGAACAATTTGCGAAAGACTTTTTTAGATCTTTTAAGTATAGGTGACAAATGATGGGTATAATATGTATCAAGAATAACATATTTACTTCTATTTCAAGAAAATTATTGCTTTAAATTTATCTTCACTTGTTTCAGTTTGAAAGAATTTCTTCCTAAAGAATATTTAAAAGTGAAAGGAGCTGAAAAGAAGATATTTCAGGTAATTTGAATAATTCTATGCTTAAGCCTTCTATTTGGTTATTCTAAGGGTGTGTATTAGAATGCTTGCAGACAATATATTTACAATTATACATTAATTAGAAATGGATTCATTATTTCAGGAACACAAGAAACATGTTGGATTAACAGAAATTGAAGCTAAAGTAAAATATACACACCAATGTCGTTCATTAAAAACATATGGTATAACATTCTTTTTGGTCAAGGTAAGTTTTACAGCCAACTCTTGTTCTAGGTGGGCCAATGAAGATTGGCATCAACATGCAATGAGCAAAATTTTGTTCATTTCCAAATTTCTAGAGTTCTTCAGTCTGATCAACTTTGGGTTTCCGCCCATCCAAATGAATAAAAAACTTGATTTATCAGAAATGCCAACAGTCTGGAACAAGTAGTCCTGATTTGTTTTTAGGTAAATGAATGATAACTTTGATTATTTGTAGGAAAAACTAAAAGGAAAGAATAAATTAGTACCTAGATTATTAGGTATTACTAAAGAAAGTGTTGTTCGTGTTGATGAAAAAACCAAAGAGGTAGGTTCCCTATTGTTGATATTGCTATTAAGTCCCTGTGATATTGAACCTTAAAGTGTTTTCCATCCTTATGAAATGCATGAACTGTAAAATGAATGTATTCTGCTTTATCCGTGAATCTTCATAACAAATTATAAATCCTTAACATGTTTATGAATTTAAAATTACAGATCATGAAAACCTGGCCATTAACTACAGTCAGAAGATGGGCTGCTTCACCAAACAGTTTTACATTAGTAAGTAACATTATTGATTGTTATACCTTCAGCAATTAAGCTGAAATGCTCAATATACTTATGTTATTATATGATAGCTAACGTATATATTACTCAAATCTCACAGTTGGAGGTGTAGGTAAAATTTGCTTTGTTTCTCCAACTATTTACTTCATTTGTCATTTGTATTTTTTATCTACTAGGATTTTGGCGATTATTCTGATACATATTATTCTGTACAAACAACAGAGGGTGAACAAATTTCTCAACTTATTGCTGGTTATATTGATATTATATTGGGCAAGGTGAGAATTTATATATTTATTATAAGCTTGATCCTAAATCTGTGGAGAGAACGACATCTCTTCTGAACTACTTTGAAGTAAGATTTGTGATGCTGTAGTGAATAAATCTTGTATTTCTTGGTTTCTATCAACTGTTAGTGACTAAGAGTTTGAATGTGGATATTTTAATTGCAGAAAAAGGCCAAAGATCATCTTGGTATTGATGGTGATGATAATTCTATGATGTTAGAAGATAATGTAGCACCAGCTAAGTAAGTTTTAGTTACCTTGTTCAGAAACAATATCAAGACCAAGCAGTCAAAACAGGCATTTTTGAATCTTTTGAGTTGATTGAAACTCAAACTAGAACAGTAGGAGCTAAAATCAGACATTATTGTTTACAGAATATCAACGTCTGAATATCTGTTTTACCAGCTGATAAAGCTTAAACGTTTTGCTTTTCTTGGATTGTTTAAAAACTTGACATTAAGTTATGATTCTAATAAGTGATACACTTGATAATATAATATGATTATTTTTGTCCACAGGGCTACCATTATCCAACATAATACATCTAAAGTGAGCCACGCTAGTAGTGGTAATGTGGCTATACCAGCTGTTATAAGAGATGGTGGACAAGGGGAATCACAGTATGGTGTTGGTTCCATGCAATCAACACAATATACACAGGTGTCAAATCAAGCTATTAGTGGACATTCTGCTGCTCACAGTGTTAGTGTTTTAACTGCTTGTCTTTTTATTAACCTTATACTGTTCATCTCAAACATTTTATATAGTAATTTCTTTTTACATATGATTTCATACATCTAGTCACTGCTATTGAGTGCAAATTCCAAAATTTCTTAAAATATACAAACATATCCTTTGATTAAGATGTTTCGACATATTTTTTAGTAGAAATGTTTGAGATACAGTATTTCTCGAAATCTTGTAGTTTATGAACGTATTTGCATATATATGAACAAGAATTAATGAGTATTGACCGATGAAAAATGGCTTAATTGGTCGAACTTGGGTTAATTTCTGCATAGATACCAGCAAAAACAAAGCATACGTGACAGAAAGTACCTTTGATCAATGGGAATATTACTGTCATTGATAATTGAGCTAGATAGGGTTAAAATGAAAGCCTGGTTTATGGACAGTATTGAGTCAGATAGGGTTAATATGAGAACCTGGTATACAGTCAAGGTAACCTCTGTATCTCTATAATATATAGTAGTTTTAACATTGGTTTTAGCTGGTCTTATTATATAGCACTCAAAACATCTTCCAAAAAGGTTAAAATATGGAACATTTGATTTTTGATCAAGTTTGATTTTACATCCAAATTAAACTTTGATCGTGGAAATATTTATTTATTTGAAAATTAAAAAACTAAATAACATTTTTTTCCCTGTAATTTGATTGGTCAATCATGAAAATTTATTTTGAATTTTGTTTTATCAACCAATCAGATTACTGTATTTATTCAAATCTGATCTCACATTCTGTAGCCTTGGAAGATGTTCATTGATGATTAGTTAATCCAGCATTTAGAATGAGGTTGTGTGTCTCTCTCAATAATCTCTCTAAACAGATAATATTATACATTATACATAGATCTGACACCCGTTGTTACTTTACATCAGTATTTATCACACAAGTTAACTCATATTATATATCAAGCCTTTAGACAAGGTTAAAGGCAAGTTATCACTTGATTTCAGCTGCCTGTAATATTTTCGGAACAGAATTTGAATGTTTATTGCAATTTTATTAACATGTTCAAATCTAAGCATCTAGTTTTTAGCGAATTGCCGGAGATCTAGATGTTGGATTTTAATTTTACAAAGTGATACAGATAGTTTCAATTTAATTCTACCAGCTTGTAAAGCTGTATATTTTTATAGTTGTCTATAATATGATTAATACTGGTGTAATAACTGTGTGTTATATCAAGTCAGAATACTGCTATAAATAAACAGAATGCTGTTGGAGTCTGTGTGTTAAAAGGCATGGAATTTGTCAACTTGAACAAGATTTAATGTTTGGGGTTTAAACTTTTTCCCTTCTCCTGAGTTTACGTTTTTCATATTTTCATAGAAGTGGTTTTAATTTCAGTAGTTCTTTCTAGAGCACAATTTTAGTTAGATTAGATTTAGTTCAACTAAATTGATTTATTTTGATACAATTTATCCTTCAATTTCATGTCTACAAATTACAAAAATTGCTCAATTTATAGACCCTTGGAATTGAAACAACATTAACTAAAGTTATCTATTCTGTAGATATTTCTATATTGCATATAATTTATCATATAGACTAATGCAAGTCCGATAGGAGATATGATATTGAATTATATATCAGGAAAACGGCTCTCTGTAAATGGTTTGGTCTTCTCTTTTCATAATTTATCATTTAGTTTATATAAAGGAATTGAACTACTGAGAGATGAAGAATCCATGGGATGTAATTAATTTGAGTTTTGTAAAAGAAATAGCATGTTAATAATTTGGTTAACAATTATGGCAGCATGAAGTGTTGTTCAGTTACTAAATCATTTCTTTTATTTTATTACAAAAATCACAATTTTACTTTTCATTTTTTTTTTTAAATTGTAAATCCACTATTTTGTATAGCACATTTTAGTTTTATTTTGATTAAAAAAACAGAAATTTGTGGAAATAATTGAATTAGAATTAGTTATTAATACCTTTATCTATATTTTAACAGGAAAAATCTAGAGAAGAAGTAGGATTGAGTAAAGCCCAGAAAGCATTATTGATTACTATTGAAGAAGGTTTATCATCAGTTAATGCTGCCCAGTCACAACTTGAACATCAGGCAGATTTACCTACCCTTGGTTCTGATCCTGTAAGTACTATTTCTTCTCTTCAAGGAGGTACTGTACAGAAATCTATTTGTGTTGCTTACAAAATATACATGTAAAGAAGCACTGGATATATAGATATAAATCAGTAAATTACATGTAACCTAATTTAATCTTTGAATACTTCAGGCATCCAAGAAATGGAGAGAAGATGCATTAGATGTATCAAGACAGAAGGTTGGAAGTCAGTTGTCTGCTATGAATGCTGCTACAGCACAGTTAGTTACATTGACGTCTGGTAATCAAGATGAAATAGATTATACTGCTGTTGGTTCAGCTGTCAATCAAATGTATGTTCTTTTCTTTTGTTATTCCAAATTATGCCCATGTCTTCATTTTCTATGCTGCTGAAGTTTGAATGAGTTCAAAATACACAAAAAATCAACAGGCTTTCCGAGGTTATTACCCGTGACAATGCAGAAAACCTTTCAATTGAAGCCCTAAAGGCAATTATTACTGAAATTTCCTACTTTACTATAGATTGAATAATTTACGGATAAGCAAAAGTATAAATGACTTATTTTGGACTTGATTATATTTATTTCAGTTCATCCAATCTAAATGAGTTTAGTGGTGATGTGCGTATGTTAGCCGCTCTACAAGAAGATAATGGTAATAAATTGATGAATGCAGCAAGACGTTTGGCCGGTGCTTTCAGTGATTTACTACAAGCAGCACAACCTGGCTCTAAAGAGGTAACAATTGATTATAAATCCTGTGCTCTTTGAGAAATGTTTTGTGTTGATTAGAGGAACACCAGGAACCTTTTAATTTTGATTGAAAATTCAGATAACCTTGAATCACTATAAGAAAAATATGCTTACGGGTTGTGACCATTTTCAATGTGAAATACTATTTACTTTAATGATTGTTGTTTTATTTACAGCCAAGATTGAACCTATTAGCTGCTGCTGGTAAGATTGGTGAAGCCAGTCAAGATGTCATGGATAATGTTGGTGAAACAACAGAAGATATGGACAAAGCTTACCAGGTAGGCTTATACAACTTTAGATATGTGCTGTCATAGACTTTGATTCTCCCAAATGTACAGGCATACAGTGGAGAAATACTTTATTGAGAAATAGGTGATTTGATAAGTTAAAAAGATTTCTTCTTTTAGTTTTAGGGCACCAAAAACAAGATAGTTTACATTTTTTAAGTGAGATTTGATATATATTTCAGGATACTTTGTTAGCTCTTGCTAAAGCTGTTGCTAATGCTACTGCGGCATTAGTCCTTAAAGCTAAAACTGTAGCTAATAAAACAGAAGATCCAGGTTTACAGAATAAAGTTATTAGTTCTGCTACACAATGTGCTCTAGCTACTTCACAGCTTGTAGCTTGTACAAAGGTAAGTGTTATTCTTACTTGCGGAGGTAGAATTTTTAAAAATTTGTGTTTTATTGTGCTTTGTTTCTTCCTGTTGTCTTCTCATAATTGCGATTTAAAGTCAACTCAGACTTGAGGGATAATTATTTTGTTTGACTTTTTGCATTTTAGGTTGTAGCACCAACTATAGGTCATCCAGCCTGCCAGGAACAGCTTATTGAAGCTGCCAAACTAGTAGCTAAATCTGTAGAAGGTATTGTAGAAGCTGCTCAAGGAGCTTGCAGAGATGATTATGTTTTACAAGATCTCGGCGGTGCTGCTACACAAGTTACCAAAGCTCTCAATGACTTGTTGCAACACATCAAGAAAGCTGCTGGACCTACAAAGGTAAAGATATGATTCTTTTCCTGAAAGCAATTTATGGAATCTGAACATCAGTCCAACCTTCCAAAACCAATTTGAATTAAGATATGAACAGTACCAGATATACATAAGCTTACCCAATGTATTTTTTCAGGCTACAGAAGTACACGAAGAAGCTGTTGATCAGATTATTACAACCACTGATAAATTATTTAGTAGTGTTGGTGATGCTCATGAGATGGTCAAAAACGCTAGACTTTTGGCTCAGGTAAGATGATTTGAGTTGATATAAGTTTTCGTTGTTGCTTTGTACTGAGTATTGAGATCTTTGAAGAACTTTCAAGAAACTTTAAATGAAAAAAAATTGTCAAAAAGGGATGAAGAATACAGGTGTAAAAGAATTGGTTTTCTTATGATCTTTTGCTTTGTTATTGCAGGCTACTTCACAATTAGTAACTGCTATTAGAGGTCAAGCTGAATCTCATCCTGATTCTGATGTACAGAAGAGACTATTAGCTGCTGCTAAACAATTAGCTGATGCCACTGCTAACCTCGTGGAAGCTGCTAAGGTGGGTTGTGTTTCATCAGAGTTCAATCATGGACATATCTTTTATCTGCTTTAATGTCAATAGCAGTCTTCAAGTTCGATTTTGATTTCTATGATATACTTTAGTATATGTAACCCATTGTAACTCATTAACTTAATTTCCACATACAGGGATGTGCTTCCAGTCCTAATGACTCCAACCAACAGATGATGTTAAGATCTGCAGCTGAAGAATTAAGATCTGCTACCAATACAGCTGCTAGTAATGCTTTGAAGAAGAAACTAGTGAAACGTTTAGAGGTATGTGTCATCTGTTATGATATAGGACTATTAGAAAGGATAATAAGGGAACTGATTGAAAAGAACAGTACATTATTGACAATTGTTGATTTATTTCTTGTCTCCAGAATGCTGCACGTCAAGCTGTATCAGCCTCCACCCAGCTGATTAATTCATCAAAACAAGCTAATAAAACTAATCGTAATGCTGCCTCACAACAACAACTAGCAGCTCAATGTCAAGTGGTAGATGAAGAAATACCTAATCTGGTACAGAGTATTAAAGGTGCACAGAGACATTATGATAGTGCTTCAGCACAACTTGGTCTGATTAACTCTAGTCAGGAATTCATACAGGTAATTTCTTTTCTTTCACTTTGTCCCAGAGGTCCTCCTTAACTTTTAAACTTCCAAGCTTAAATACTTAATTGAATCTGTAAGTCCTGATGCCATTCTGTGAATCTGTCAACATTCCATCCCTGTGGTTCACTCAGCTGATATTAAAGTGTTCCTGGATCAATATCATATTTTGTTGTATATTACAGCCCTGTAGTAGATTGATGGCCCAAGCTAATTCAGCAGCTCCTACAGTTACAGATCAGTCCTCTGTTTTAACATTGAATAATAATATTAAAGCTATGGCTACAGCACTAGCTGAACTGAGAACTTCTGCAGCCAAGGTAAGAATATATTCTTCTCTGACTCTTGTGAGAACAGAGTTTCCTGGGCCCACAAGCAGCAAACTATAGAATAGAAGTAGTAACATTTCTCAAACTTCTTTGGAATGATCTTTCCCGGATCATGAGGATCATGAAGACTCCCCTAACTTCCACATTAGATTCCAATGCTCATCCATTGAGTTCTTTGCATTGATCTTATCGTGATTAACCATACTCATTTCCAGCTGGATTGATTGAAATAATGATGATCATGATGACACATTTAATCCATAAAATAATCTTCATCTGTTATTATTGGTAAATTGTAGGCAGCTGAAGCTTGTCATTCATTAGAAGTTGACAGTGCTTTAGATCAACTCCATGCTTTAGATAAAGAGTTAGATGATGTCCAAAGATCAGCAGAAAGTGGTAATTTATTACCTCTACCAGGAGAGACAGCTGAAAGTGCTGCTTTACAACTTGGTGCTACATCTAAAACAGTAGCTTCATCCATGTCACAACTTCTTACTGCTGCAGCTCAGGTAAAGTTATTTTTTTTTATTTAGTGATAACTTGATACAACAGCTCATTATATCACATCTCTTCTATTTTAGAGGTGTCTAAGATTAAAATCTGGCATAGATATTTAATTTCTTAACAAGATCTAATTGATTAAGTTGTTATGGTCTTTCATGCTTATAGATGGTACAATAGAAACAGGACTGACCTTTGACTTGATTCAAATCTATTTTGATGTTCCAACAGGGTAATGAAGATTATGTTGGTATTGCCAGTAGAGATACAGCTAATGCTCTTAAAGTTTTAACATCTGCTGTACGAGGTGTAGCAGCTACTACTAATGATCAACAAATACAACGTAATATTATTGGTAGTGCTCATGATGTCATGGATAAATCTATCAGATTGTTGGAAGAAGCTAAGTCTGCGTTAGAGAACCCTAATAGTCCTGAAAATAGTCAACGTTTAACACAGGTACAGTATTGTTACTAGTTGACAGTTTCCAAAGACTTTCATGCTTAAATATAGATTTTCTTACCATTACTTGCTCCATAATAGCATGAAAACTGTCTCCGAGACCAAAGTCAGAGATATTTTGATGCTCAATTAGGCTTAACTGAGAGTTAAATCCTTAATCCAAAATGTATGTTAAATATCAAGGCTTAAGTCTAGTGTGCTACAGGCATGGTCAAGGTCCCTTGACAATCATTGGAATTGGCACTCTCATAGCAAAACGTTCTCGTGACCTTGCCAGCCTTCATTATTTCATCCATTTCATTTATTATCGTATATTATTTATTTATAGGTTGCCAAGTCAGTAGCTACAGCTCTCTCTAACTGTATTAATTGTTTACCAGGACAGAGAGATGTTGATAATGCTATACAACAAATAACAGCTAGCAGTCAAATGTTAGCTAATCCATCGGTAAGTATCTAAATACCATCCAAATCAGGTCTTTTCAGGGTTTTGTTCTCGGCATAGGTTCAGACAGTGCCTTTGTCTTCTTGACATGTAATCTGGAGATGCATGCATGTTAAAATCTATTAAGAACTGAAACAAATGTGATACAGGCTGTAGAAATTGTCTAATGTTGTTTTCCTAGAAAAATTTCCCACATGGCACACTGCATGGAAAAGAAATAAATCTTCATATCATTATGACAGTATCTTAAAGATTTGCTGTGCTTAATTTCAGTTCCCTGGTACCAACAAGACCTATCCTGAAGTACAGACTGATATGAATAATTCTGCAGTCAATCTGAATCAAGCTGCCAGTGATATAGTGACAGCATCTAGAGGAGCCACAAGCCAACTGGCTACATCTTCTAATAGATATAGTGAATGTTACCAACAATTTGTACATAATGGTCTGACCATGGCAGGATTAACCAAAGATTATGAAACACAGAATCAAATAGTTGGTGGATTAAAGAGTGTGTCTATGGTATCTAGTAAATTATTATTAGCAGCTAAATCAGTTTCAGCTGATCCTAATGCACCTAATGCTAAAAATCTTCTAGCACAAGCTGCCAGGTAAGATAGGAATTTCATTTTTTACAATTTTTGACTAATTTCCCAAATTGCACACTGTTTGACATTTTCAACGGCCATCTTCCATCTCTTATTTCTACAGTAGTTAGTTATGAAATTAGAAATTTTTTTAAATGAGTTACTACTTAAAATGATTATATTCATGGAAATGATGAATGATTAATGAAAAATGATTATTTATCTATTTAACAGAGCTGTAACAGAGAGTATAAACCACCTAATTAATATCTGTACAGTATCAGCACCAGGACAGAAAGAATGTGATAATGCTTTACGTCAAATACAGGTAATGTACAGAGTCTTCATATACTGTATGTTTACCTATTGATTATAGAACTGGGTTTGATTTAGGTGCCCCAATACCATAGTGATTACTAGTTGCCTATGGTTGCTAATATTGAAAGTGGTCATGAGTTCTGAACACAACTCACAACTTAGTTACATGAGAGCTGTGTTTGAAACTAATGACCTCTTTTCTTATTCCACAACTGGTGATGGCTATAGTGTGATGGCACCTCAAAGGAAAATGTAAATGGAAAAAAAATTGAAAAAATGAACGCAGAAAATATTCAGTGAATTTCAACCAGAAAAACAATTCGATAACGTCGGATATAGAATCATGGGGCATTAAAAGATTGACTTTTATGTCAATAGAATTGACAATTCTCTGAAGGGATGTCTGGCATAGAATGGCATCAAGTCTTCTGGATGTCTAAATGCCATGCTTTGCCAGTATTCAAAGTAAATTTGATAGATGATCTTAAAACCAATCTCCAATTTTTAGACTGGGAACCAACAGTTTCATTGTTAAAATGTAAATATTGTATTTTAGATGATGAGAAATGTATTAGATAATCCTAATGAACCAGTCAGTGATCAGACATATTTCGATTGTTTAGAAAGTGTTATGGAACGTTCAAAGGTTAGTCCATGGTTATTTCACTGCATGTTCGTCTTGACACAAACCTGAATTTATCACAAGTAGAAAATCTGGAGAGGAGAGACTCTTACTACTTAGATCGGGTGCTGGCATGACACGAAATCAGCTTGATATTGCAATTTCTGAAATGCTGTAGAAGCAATAAGTAATGGTACTGTAGTGTACCCTAATAGAATATTTGGTAAATGGTACTAATACGTAACTTAAGATTGGACACTATGATCCAAATTTATCTGTTTATACTCTTTGTACTAATGAAACCCGAACTAATTTAGCAAACCCAAGGAAATGGACATTTAAAGGTGAGATATGTTGTAAAAAATAGGCTTCTCTCAATTAGTTCTTTTTAATCATTTGGCACAGAAATAGACGTGCAGCTTTAAATGGCAAATGACAGAAAATCTTACTATTTGTAGAATATTTTTATATTGTTTTTATTTTGCCAATCTTTCAGGTGTATGTATGTATGATTTCTCTCTATTTTATCTTTATATACAATAATATTCACTTTGTTTTTGTTTCCTTTCTTCACTTCTTCTTTAAAGTTAGGCTATTTTTCTTTCAAGATTTTAAAATACATTTCTTAATTTATTTGATACGTCAATAGTAAAGGGGGTGGGGAATGAGTTTCAGATACAAAAAATGATTGCTTCTAGTTGTAGATGCTAAAATTTTTTTAATTTTTGTTCGAATTTTCTGAAAATTTAATGTTGTTTCATTGGAAGTTGAAATTCCAATTAAGATAATAATTCACAACAAATTCCTTCTGTTTCCCCTTCAGCTTAAAAATCAATTATTATCCAACAGTGATTTGCAAGATTATTATCATCCACTAGTATCATATTATGTTATACACTGATTTTGCAATTATTTATGTTCTAAAACTCACAATTTGTTATAAGATATACTGCACTGAACTTAAATGATATATTTTGCAAATGGCAGAAAGATATATACATTGTTCTTGATTTTTTTCTTTTTTTCTTTTCTTCGTTTATACAATTGTGATAATATTGTCAAATAATCTGTTGGCTTTTATCCATTAGCATTGTCACTTTTATCTATTGGCATTGTCATTTACAGGCATTGGCATTGCCACTGAATGAGTTAAAATTTGTGGAAGTAATTCCAATGTCATATAATATTATTCCTGACATTATTGTAAATGTTTTATTAATCTGTTTTTGTAGGCACTTGGTGATGCTATGACTGGTATATCTAACCATGCTAAAAGAAATGATATTGATGATTTCTGCGACTCTGTTAGAAATTTCGCTAATTCTGTTTGTGGCTTAACTGAAGCTTCTGCTCAGGTAAAAATTTAATTTTGAAATCGACTTATTTTAAATAAAGAATTACTGGTTCAAAGTTCAGATTATGAAGAGGGTTGTAGTTTTATTTCAAGAGAGTACTGACTAGTGATATCATTTGTGTTGTGTAATGTTTGTGCCAGATGAAATTCTGTTGCCCTGGATTAAGTTGATTGACTTGCATGCTGATAGGATGAATTATGGATATTTTGAATCATTCATTTATTCATTCATTTATTCATTCACATGTTTATTTTTCATTTATTCATTCAATCATTCATGTATTGTGTGTTTTATCTTTGCTGGAGGTGTGAAAATATTATAATGGTATTATTTGTAATATTGCAGGCTGCATATCTAGTAGGAATAGCTGACCCTGCCTCTGAACCAGGTAGACCTGGTATTGTTGATCAGTCCCAGTTTTCACGAGCTAATCAGGCTATACAGATGGCTTGTCAAAACCTTACCAATCCAGCCAGTTCTCAACAACAGGTAACCTTCATTATTATATTGCTTTAGGTTATGCTTTATATTGATAAGGGCTATCTTTAGTTTAAAGGGATAGAGTTAATATTTGCTTTACCAGCTGGTAATGGCCTGTATCACTTTACAGAATGAAAGTCTGTTGTCACTTCCAGGCCTTAATCATTACTTTTACAATTATGCAGATATTATGATAATATCAATCAAACCTCCTGTGAGAATAACGATAATGGCCTTCGTGAACATTTTTCTCTCATTGTAAAGGAACAGGAAGTGAGATTTCAATTCTGAAAAGTGATACAGACAGCTAGAATTGAGCTTTATCAAGTGGTGAATCAAATTTTGGGGTATGTTTAAAATTGGTTTATTAACTGGGGCTTTTAACATTGATTTTGAGAGTTTTTTATTTTCCCAAATGGAATTAATATATACAAATGGTATTGCGATCAAGTTTTTCAATTTTTAAAAAAAAACAGAGTGTGACCTTATTTTAGGAAAATATTACACTCTTTATAGCATGATAGAATAGTTATTGGAATTATCTAAGTTGGATTGGCATGAATTTAAGATCAAAATTTGATTTCTATAAAGATTATTTGTGTCATTTCTATGACTATTAACTGAAATGCCATTTTATTATTAGTTAAATTAGACCCTCAGTTTGAAGGAATTAGTTTTGAGTGTCATTATAATAAACATTTAGCATTTTTGATGAAAAATTAGTGAACAAAATCTATATTTGTTTTTAGTCGTCAAAATGACCATCTCTTTGCCGTATTCAAACTCATCTTGGAAGCAAATTTTTTAAACATTTTTATGTTTACTGCATCTCCTAAGATCTGTTAGGCTAATTGTCAAAATATTAATGTAGCGTAACAAATCTTGTTGGTTGATTCTAGTCTTTGAATGAACCAATCGGAGCTCTTAAAATTCTTAAAAGTCACATGGCAAGAGTTGGCAATTTTGATGACATTGATTCCAAAGTTGAAGTATTAGCATGTCCACAAATATATCCATTTACAAATCTGAAATTTAAAACTTAGGTGAATGCCCAAGCGCAGGTATGTTTAAATGTTCCACAAGATAACCACTTAATCATTTAACTGACAATTTTCTATTTATCTGCATAAACTATTATAATGATAAAATTTCCAAAGTATAACACTCCCTTATCTGGTTTTAATATAGTTTATAATTCCCATATATTTATGTTCTATAAGCATTATATCTTAGTTTTAGATTAGAACTAAAAGCTAAGTTAATGATATAACCAACTAAGGATGCTAATAATTTTGCACGTTAATAATAACCAAAAATCTTGAAGATTTATAAAAATTGATTGTGCATCCTAATAACTTAACAAATAACACTAAAATTTAATATTCAAGATTTTACTTGGAAGCAGATAAATACATGAAAATTGTGAGGTTGTCTTCAGATTTGATCTATGTTTACTTTCTAACCTGTTTTTGTATTTTGTTTTGTTTGTAAAGTATTACGAATCCTGGACCGTTAGGTCAATGGTAAGATACTGCATGCCGAATATGGCAGAATTTTTAGCGAGTCCTTTGTTTATATCTTGTCCGATTATTTCTACATATTTTTTTTTTAATTATAATTTGAAAGATAGGTCTATGTTTAGCACTTTCTGTCTTGTCTTGAGAATTGATCACTGATTTATTTTGCTTAGGCTCAATGTTACTTTGTCTATTAATTTGCTGGTAATATCTGTGTAATGTGAGGTACTTTTATTATATTTTAACTAAGCTCTGATTGGATCTTGAATTTAATATTTTTCAATTTAAGCATACTTTGTTTTCTTATAAAAGTGTATTGAAATATGAAAACTTAATGATATAATTATTATAAATCCTGACCCCTTCCAAGCTCTGCCAGTTGTCCCTTTAAACCTTATTACTTCCAGAGAAACAGTAAGCGCCAAGTGAAATTTAATCATTTGTCATGGATTGCTATGTTGTATGAGATTGTTTTTCAGATATTTTGTCTTGTTTATAATGCTGATCATGTTTGGCTTGAATTAAAGTCATTATTTGAGTGATGTTATATGTTTTAACTTGTTAACCATAATTTAACTGTGTGTTTTATATATTTAATAATTTCCTCTTATAAACAGAAAACAATACATACACAATGATAGTAGTTCAGAACTGTATTCACTGCATGTTTCATAAAAATTCAAGAAAATCTAGCCCTCGAATGGCCTAAAATGGTTTTCAAGGGGTGAAGAAAAATATTAATTGCAGAAAATAAAGATATATGACTATTTTGATTTATTTAAAAAATGAGAGGCTAGAGCTGAAGGAATAATGAAACATGTTATGTATAGTCCAGTAAAAATATTTATCCATATTTTGGAATGGCACAATGCCTAAATCAAGTAGTATTTGAATCAAAACAAAGTATTTTGTATACATTACTTCCCAAACTTGACTATACATTTATGAAATGTGCATAACATCCCATATTATCTTCCTAATACAATAAATACCAATATATTTATAATTAGTTTATAATTTCTATTTTTATTCCTAATATTTATCGTCTCCTTTGTAATCTAGCAAGTTTTCTATCACATTTGCGCTCTAATGACAGTATTTTCAATCAATCCTGGCTTTAATTAAGGGCTTATTTCTTCCTTCCAATGACAAATTGTGGCAAAGAAGCATGTCCTTCATTACATGATTTGATTGGTTAACAAAGCTGTCATTAGAAAGCGACTACTGTAGTAAACTTGTTAGATTACACTTGAGAATAAAAATAAGAAATGAAATTGTAATCTAATTTTAGTTAGATTGATAAAATACTAGAATCACATACAGGCCTATTATACGTGTATCATATATATTGCACTACAATTTGTATTGACCAAAAACTTAACATGCAAATAACTTTAATGAAACGGAAATGTTATACTTTAAAAAGACATCATGATTTTGTTTATCATAACACAAATCATCGAGTTGCATGATATACAGTTATTCATGATGCATGTACTATTTTTATTTGATTAGAATTCAGCATGATTTATTTTGTTATATTTATTTTATTCATGGTGTAAAAAATCACAGCATTATCATCGTCACATTTTTAAAATACTAAATTTCACAGGGCACTAAAATATAGTACAATAGCCAAGATATTTTCTTAATTTTGTCATTCGAATTTCAGGTTTTATCTGCTGCCACAGTTGTCGCTAAACACACGTCTGCCTTATGTAATGCATGTAGAGTTGCCTCCTCCAAAACCTCCAATCCAGTCGCGAAACGTCATTTTGTACAGAGTGCAAAGGATGTTGCTAACAGCACTGCTAATCTAGTCAAAGCCATCAAAGTAAGTATTGCTTTTAATTCATAATCAGTATAATAAAACATCCACAATTGAAAAAATTTGTAATATTAAGAGCCTAAGGACAAAAAATATCTGAAAGATATCTTGTAACAAGATCATGCTAGATGTCACATCACCCTGACATTGTTGTTTTACTGTTTTTTAGGCATTGGACCAAGATTTTACAGACCAAAACCGTCAGAAATGTGCAGAAGCTGCTCGACCTTTAGTTGAAGCAGTAGAAGAATTAACCACTTTCGCTTCTTCACCAGAATTTGCCAGTAAACCAGCAAAAATTAGCCCCAAAGTAAGTTTTATACTTTATGGAGATAGACTTGATACCATATCTATATGGATGTGATACTTTATCGAGATGGATGTGATACTCAAGTAATACTTGACAAAATTGATACTTCATGAAACAGAATCGAGAATGGACTTGATACTTTTATCCAGATGGAACGGATACGTTACAGATTTGATTGTGACTCAATCAATGTTTTATTGGACAGAATTTTAGCGGGAGAGAAAAGTGATATGAAAACCTTAACGAAGAAGATTTCAGATATTTATTTTTATTATTTCAGGCACGACAAGCACAAGAACCTATCACCCATGCTGGTAAAGGAATGATTGATGGTGCTAGTAGTATGTTACAAGCTGCTAAACAACTAGCTGTTAACCCTAAAGATCCACCAACATATCAAATGTATTCACATCATTCAAAATCTGTATCAGACTCTATCAAACAATTAGTTAGTTCTATCAAGTAAGTAGCTCATCAAATTTTAATGGTTACCGTTGAATATCATGGGGATTCTTATTATAATATTTGAATAAATTTGCATATTTTCTTTAGAGAAATATTCAAGAATGACAACTGAAATTCTTCCAGAAGAGTATATTCAGAATTGATTACTCTTTACATTCTTGAATACCATATAATTGTGAATATAGTATGGTAATTGTACTTAAAAGAAGAGGCTGAAAGGGTTCTCTTGTTTCTTGTACAAGCTGATCAGCTAAGTTTGCAAAGTACCAGTATTTTTAGCATGACTGTGTCTGCTCTTCTAGGGAATCTGCACCAGGTCAGAGAGAATGTGATGATGGTATTGAGAAGATTAATCAGGTTATACGACAATTAGATCAAGCTTCATTAGCTGCTATCAGTCAGAATTTAGCTCCACAGAATGAAAAATCACTGAAGGTGAGAATATCTTAATGTGCCTATACTCTTAAAGACTAAACTTTTATTAGCTATATTTATGTATTCAAATCACCTATAAATTTTTCTGTTTGACCTAGTAAGAAACTTTTATTCTGAGTCCATTCAGTATTATATTTTTAAGTTGAAATTATATTCTTTATATACAACTCAACGCTTTGTTTCAGGCCTTCCAAGAACAATTGATAAACAGTGCAAGAGAGATATTGGAGAAGATAGACTTTGTTAGAAATGCTGCAAAGAGAGAACCTGAAAACCTTGGCCATCTTGTAAGTTACAATTATATCTATATCATTCTAAGGATTTAGCCATCTTGTTGGTATACGCCATTGGCATAGGCAGCACTTGAACAGGATATGTCACATTCCAAATTTGCCCATTTATATCTTTCTCTGCCATTTTAATCTACAGCTACTAATGTTTCGGCACATGTAAAGCATGTGTTCTGAACTCTGTTCCTTCTTGTTTTATTATATATCTTTGTACTTTTTTTTCAGTTCAGTTGTCATTTTTGTTTCTGTTTTATTATTTTAATTTTTTGTTATTTTTTTTTGTAGAGTACCACAATAGCCTCATATTTTGAACCACTAGCCTACAGTGCAATAGGAACCGCCTCCAGGAATTTGAATTCTAAACAACAAATGAATATATTAGATTTAACTAAGACTGTAGCAGAATCAGCTCTACAATTTTTATATGCTTCTAAAGAAGGCGGTGGTAATCAAAAGGTAATTTTTTTTAGCATTTATAAGACACTATTTTTCATCTAATGATTAATTAAGGTGTGCACACTAATTAATATTGTAGCCTGCAGATATTCATTTAAGTAGAATATAACATATGTGTGTATACATATCTATATTATAGGCAACACATGCACATCAACCTATTGACAATGCTGCTGATGATATGAAAGATGTGTTAATTGATTTATTACAAACTATGGAAGAAGCTGCCTCACAAACTGGGGTTGTTTCCAGCATGATTGATAGTATATCAAAATCTATTGCCAAGGTAACTATTATATATTATGTTGCCAATGATAGTCATGTTCTCAATTAATCATAGTCATGTTCTCAATGATATTCAGAAGAATTAAATTATAATATATAACTGCTCTCTTTTAATGAAAGAATTTTAATGATGAAGCCTCTATATATATTATCAAGGTGGATTTGCTCCCTTGGAAACCCAATTTTCCCTTGCTATTAGATTGGCCCAATTCTGCCTTTTAATTGTCTTTCTAATTCAAATGTTATTGTCTTGCAAATACTAACATGAAAAACTTATTTCTAGATTGATGAGAGAGTTGCAGTAGGAGAGAAAGCATCCTTTGTTGATTATCAAACCGAAATGGTGAGACTAGCTAAACAAATAGCTAGATCTGCACAAGATATGGTAAGTTATTATTCAGATCATCAAAAAACTTACTTTGGAATATTGATATATCTCTTATAAAGAACGGTAATTTCAAACATATTTTATGTCTTCTGATTACCATCTTGATTCAGGCATCTCAGCTACTCTCCCAAGGGAAGCAACTTCAATTAAATCTTGATAATGTAAGACTACAATATTTCACTATGACATCTCCATTGTAATTCAATAAGAGATAATTATGTATGCAAGTGAAAATATCTTGATGTAGCCAAATAGCTTTTGAATAAATATATGGTTATTGGTTATATATATGTTTTTTTTTTAATTTTCCAGACTGGTAAATCAACTACCGATGTCAGTGAATTAGGACATCTAGCTAATCAAATGACAAGAGATTACAGTCAGTTAGTTAGTAATTCTAGAGGTGCTGTATCTTCTACCACTAATGTTGATGTAAGTTTGAAATCTGATCAAATTTCATTGTCTTTTATAAATTTTAACAAGAGACACAAGACTCAGAAGATAAGACAAAATCAGAACAAATGATATTCCTCATTAGAATCAAAATCATCATTTATATTGACTCCATCAAAGGATGTATTTTGATTATCTGGTGTTTATTTTGTAGGTATCTCATAGAATTCAATCAACAGTACAAGACTTAGGTAAAAGTTTAATAGAGATTGTACAAGATGCTGGTAATTTACAGATGAACCCATCAGATACCTACGCACAGAAAGATCTATCAGATCATGCTAGATCGATCTCAGAAAAGGTAACTTTCCCTTTGAACAGTGGTCATCTGTAGTCCTTTCATGAGTTAGGATTATGGTATTGTAAACGGCAAAAAACACTATCTGCTGTTGCGAGATTTAAAAAGATTCTTTCAAGCCTTATAAGCTATATGAGTAGAAGAAGACTTCTGCAGTAAATCATGTTATTTGGTGATTATTTCCTACTTTAACATCTTTCACATCCTTTTTTTATAGGTGTCATTTATTCTGGCTGCCTTACAAGCTGGTTCTCGTGGTACCCAGGCCTGTATCAATGCTAGTAGTACTGTTAGTGGTATTATTGGTGACTTGGATACAACTATTATGTTTGCTACAGCCGGTACACTCAATCCTGAAGGAGATGAATCTTTTGCTGATCATAGGTATGTAGAGATATTACCCTCAAGTCGCCATCTTATTTATGTATAACATTTGACAGCAATGCAAACTATGGAAATTTTCAGTTTTAATGACCTGTTGAGTTCTGTGTGCTAAACTGTTTTGTGGAAAGTTGTTTTAAAAGGTGACTTCTCATGAAACTGAGAAAACAAAACTATAAATTGCTACATAGCCGACTTTTGGTATTCCTTTAATGTTTATTGTGTAAATTAATATATGTATTAGGACAGAGGTCATTTTTAAGAAAACATTACTTGTTATATACTGAGTGCACGCTTTTAAGTTAGGACAATTATTTTCTTGCCCAACTTCATGGCCATTTGCCTTGTTCATTCAAAGATAAAAAAATTGTTATGGTGGTTGCCAAAACTGCTATCAAACCTCTCAGTTTATTACAATGATTTTGTTTTACAGAGAGAGTATATTAAAGACAGCCAAGGCATTAGTAGAAGATACTAAAACATTAGTAGCTGGTGCTGCTTCTAACCAAGAACAACTAGCATCTGCTGCCCAACAAGCTGTTAAAACTATCACTAGACTAGCTGATGTTGTTAAATTTGGAGCTGGTTCTCTTGGTTCAGAACAACCTGAAGCTCAGGTAATTATTTTTTGATGAATTCAGTTAACCCTTGTACTTGCCATTTTTATGCAATTAGTCCAGTTGGAGGTTAATAATACATCTGACCATGGAGGGATGAACATATGGCAAGCAGTAGAGTAAAAAATATTAAATGAAGTATCATATTTTTAGGTGTTATTGATAAATGCAGTCAAGGATGTGGCGTCTGCCTTATCTGATTTGATTAGTGCAACCAAAAATGCATCAGGAAAAGATGCACATGATCCAGCCATGCACCATCTCAAAGATTCAGCTAAGGTAAGACTTGTTTATTATATCCATCTGAAGTTCAAATATATACATCATAGCATGGACAATGATTGCTTGCTGTTCAGCATTGAAATTGAGAAATAACCGAATTTTTGGCATGATAGTGGTTAGAATGCAATTGTAATCCCTTGCAATAATTTGAAGAAGAAACATCAGAAAAATGACCCTACCTTGTACATAATTTCATATAATAGGTCACATTGTCACTTCCAGTTTATCTTGGTAATTTCACAGATAATTTCTATCAGATGTGCTTAAAATGTTCTCTTAATGTATTATTTAATTAGAATATACACAATATATTATGATCAGGGTTAACTTCAGTTTTTTCCATCTTACGAATGTATGGTATACACACATCTTAATTTGAATACAATTCACACTCATTTGAAAGATCTGAAATTGATATATTTCATTGATTAAACAATGAATTCACCTCCAAAACATTCCATGTGAAGGAAATCTTATAAAAGCTAGTAAAATATTCCAACACATAAACAGCATTTTTTACTATAGACTCTAGAAAAAGCTATTAATAGCATGAGTGTGGTTTGCCTCTTTAAATAACCTAAATAAAAACCTGAATCACGTAATCAACTTCATATTTGATGTGCCATGCTTTGTGGTTCTATTTTAATTATTTTAAGTATATGCTTAGCTGACAAACACAGTTGCACAGCGACATTAGGTGTTCCAAAAAGGGTGATCATGAACTAAATTGCTAGCATTCGTAATCATTTGTGTTGTTTGAATAAAAATAATCAAGAAAGTGTTCAACAAAATTATATCACACATACAAACTTCTATGGAATATATGACATTTTTATTACCAACGCGACCTCAACCATATTATTTTTGGTATCATCTGCTGTGTTCATAGTTATTAGCTACAGACAAACCTTAATAAATACATAGATCCAGGCATGTTTACTAACAGCAAGTTGTGTATTAAGTATTAAGTGTGTTATGGTGTGATTAAAGGTATGATACCAGTTTTACTTCTCATCATGTCTGTACAAATGATTGTTTGACAGTGCTTTTAACATATCATTACATATTTTTTCGTTTCCATTTGAACAGGGTTATTTTTGGGTGATTTCGATTGAACCTCTGTGGTCTAGGTAAAGCTAATGGAGAAAGGACCTTTTTATCATCAGTGTGCATATTGATCTGGTCAAGTTAAGGCAATATGGTGGTACTTTTAACCATAAATAGGCATTCCTTGAGGCCATGTTTCTTTGTGTTTGACTCTCCAAATAGAGAGGGTCAGACTTGATCAAACAGGGTCAAATATTACCTCACACATATCTTAACTAGAAAATCGAAATCACCTATATATAGCCAGGGACTCCTTAATGGTTACTTCCAGATGACTTGCAAATTGGAGTAGCTTCCCCTACCTAATATTTAACTCTATAAATGTGACTATCAATTAAAATAAAAGAAAACTATTTTATGTGTGATTCTTTTTTTCTAAAATTTTCAAGACATCATCATTTCTTTGTTGTTAAGTTTCTATGAAATTTATGTTTCTATATGGAAGTAAAGGTTAAGGTCAAACAATCATTTGAACGGGAGAGATTTTTTTTATGCGTATCAGTTATAGTAGACTTAGGAATGTGTGACACTACTTTTCTACATTTTCAAATATCATCATCAGTTATATTGTTCAACTAACAAATTTGTTGATTTTTTTTTTTGACTTCTGTTTTGTTACTGTTCATTTCTTTTGTGATTGATCTGAAGAATCAACTAAGTTTTCTTGAGTCAGACAGACTTTCTGCCAATGTTTTTAGTATCTTCAGATTGTTTCTGGGAGAATTTCATCTGATTGGCTTGTATGTCATTCCTTTCAGAGTCATTTATACTTTCAACCTTCTCGAAGTGGCACTCAGACACCGCAGTCTCCAAAACAATCCATTCAGATAATTAAACATGTTAGACCTGCACCACAACCATTACAAGTACAGCAACAAGTACAACCATCTAGAAATGTTCATATTTCACCTCCAACCAAACGACGAGGTCCACCACCACCTGTCATGCCTAGAACTAAACCTAATATGAATGGATCTACAACTCCACGATATGATTTTAGTTCTGATTTTGATGATGATTTTGAGGCACCACCTCGCCCACCGCCACCAGATTATGCTTTACATGATAACTGGTCTTCTGACTTTGATGATATACCTGAAAGGGTTCCTCCAAGACCACCACCACCAACTATGCCAAAGGGTTCAAGACCTACAAGTAACCCACTAGGGTCTCCAGATTTACAACTTCTTTCATCACTTTTGGCTTAGTTCAAAATTTGTATATATATAAGTAAATTAGAGTAAATGTTCTTAATGATAATTTGTAATTGATCAGTATTTTGGATAGTTTTTTTATCATATTTGGAGAAAATTTTACAAAAAAAGCAAATTGTATATTGCAAAATAAGGCTTTAACTTCATAACTATTTGAATAACATATCAAAGTATAATTGTTGTATATGTGTTTGATTTCTATAATTGTCGTTTATTTTTGAAGATAGATATTAGCGTTTTTGATATTGTATTTATATATTCTTATAGTTTAATTTTCTAGTATCAAATTATAACTGGTTTTCATTTGTTTAGTTCAATAAAGTGGTATGTCTCAAATGTTTCTTTGATTTCGTCTTTTTATTGGATATCATTCATTTTAACAATCTAGATTTAATAACTTCATTATGTCACACATTCCTAGTTTACTATCAATATCTGAACTTTTTAAAGGCATCTGTTCCTCTAGTTATTTTTATTCAAATAACTCCAGATTGTGTATGTGTCTCTTAGAAACATATTTCATCCTTGAATGACTTTTACGATTAGAAACAGTAGAATTTTTAAAGGAAGGAGTAGTATATTTTATCCTCTCTTCCTAGGGTGAAATGAAATTGAGTACTGTATAGCTGATTATGCTATGCTAATACCTTTTCTGCCTGGAAAAATAAATTTTCGGACAAAGTTACATAAATGGAAAAGTTTTCAAATTTTAAAATTCTTTGAGGATGCACTTATACGAGTTTTTTTTCTCAAAATCTGATAGAATATATCTAGAGGAATGAATACCTTTATTAAGATAAGCCTGTTGAATATTGAACAGTATGGTAAAAAAGATATTGATTTAATATCCCTTCTTTATTTGATCATTTAATCTTTCTAACCCATTTTATTTTTCCAATGTCTCTTTTCAAATCATTTAATTGCACATAAGATTGAATAGTTTAGATGTGTATGTTGCTAATATAGAAAATTGAACATTTATACCACTATTGAGTGTACTTTCATAGTGAAAACGTGTAACTAATCTTTGTTTATGGTCAAAATAGTGATATAAAAGCCCTGCTGTGAAAATGGTATTATTAAATTGAAGTTCAGTCTGAGAGTTCAGTCTGAGGAAGTCTTTTTTAAGTATCTAATATAGATATTTTTGGCTTTTTTGTTAAGTGTAAACTAACTATGATTTGCTGAATATGGAATTTAAATTTAAAATTATCCCTTTAATGTTATTTCCCAAATCTGACCTACATCCAATATCTAGTAATAAAAATTGAAAGTTATAAACTATTGACTTTTAGTATAGAAGGTCAGTCAATAAAGATAACTAAATCTTCAAGTATTCTATTTACTATGCTGTTCAAAATGTCTTCACTTTATAAATTGAAGCTGGTATCATGACCCGTTATCATTTCATATATTTCATATGGTCTACACATTATCATACAGGAAATGGCTGCATAACTCTCTTATATTTTAAACTCTACCCTGCAAAATAACAGCAAAATTGATTTTGAACATTCAGTGTTTATCTTGGGTCAAATATTGAATTATATATGAGACACATGTTGGGATCATTAAATTGACTTATTAATTGTATTGCATCTGAAGATCGTGAGGATGCACTTAATAGCACCCAAGTTCAAAGATCTTTTATCCAGTAGCTATTTAGACCAGATCAATTTAATTTCTTTTATAACAGATCCTCTTGCCTTAATTTTTTAGAAATCAGCGGGAAAAAAACTAATTTTTCTAGAAAAATCCCGTAAAACCAGAAAATAAATTGGCCTTGCCTAGGAACTTACATATACATTACAACTACATCCATACTAATTAACATTCAGAGATTTCAAATTAGAGTATGCACCAATTTACTTTGTATATTTTGAATTCTTAAAACAGAGGTGTCACTGCATGTTATTTTAAAAAAAGATTTTAATTTTAAGAAATTCTTACTATTATTTTGTAAAAAAATTCATAAAAAAAATATTACTCCCTCTATTGACATTAATGGTAAAGAACAAGAAAGATTTTAAAATATTAACCCAAAGGGAGAGAGTTTTTAACAATTAATATAAGTTGGTGCATACTCCACATTTAATATGATTTAATCCCATATTTTTACAGCTCACATTTGACAGATAAAAACAAGTCTCATATTTCATTTGGTTTGTTAATAATAACATTTGTTACATGTAAATCATAGGTCATTAATAATTTGATAGTGTCATATTGATAATTTGATAGCGTCATATTGATAATTTGATAGCGTCATATTGTTAATTTGATAGTATAATTGATAGTGTCATATTGATGCTCACATACAATGTGTTTTGTATTTATTATACATCGATTAATACAACAAATTCAGTTAAATTCATTAATTAAACTTAATATAAACATTAGTTGATATAAAAAGTACATCAGGTGTGTAGACATTTTAAAGGGGATGTGAAGTTGGCATAATCAAAATAAAGATATCATGATCAAACTATGATACAGACTTTGATGGTTTGGCTACTAATTATTTCTAGGTTATGGTAACCAATGTAACATCATTATTAAAAACTGTTAAAACGGTAGAAGATGAAGCTGTTCGAGGAACCAGAGCTTTGGAATCAACTGTAGAGGCTATCAATCAAGAAATCAAGGTACATTCTTTACAATTTTTTTTAAATCACTCTCATAGATTCGAATTATCAGATTTAAAAATTTTATTGCTAGTAATGCATTTTTACGACCAAATAAGACTTTAATTTAAATTCTTGATTTTTTTTATACCCTCCATTTATTTTGATTTTATTGATCTTGAAGTGACTGAACTAAATATTTTGTTGATTTATAGGCGTATGATACTACTGATACCTTTGGTAAGAAAGCATCTGCTGAAGATCTGATCAGATATACTAAACCTATCACAGCAGCAACTGCTAAAGCTGTAGCAGCTGCTAATAGTATGAAACAAGAAGATATTATTGCTGCTTCTAATATGGGAAGAAAAGCTATCATGGATCTCTTACATAATTGTAAAGTAAGTGTAGGGAATAATTGATTGATGAAAGCCAGAATTACATGCTTGCTTTATTTTCAAGTACATTAAATATAATTTTTTATGACCAAAAATCAAACTAAAGACTTTTGTTCCTTCCATACAATAATTTAACGTTGTTTATGATAAACCATATGCTTTGATTTTTCAGGCGGCTGCAGCTACAGCAGAAACAGCTGAAATACGCCAGCGAGCTATCAATGCTGGTAGAATGTGTGGTACAGCTTATAAAGAACTATTAGAATATGTTCACGTGGTAAGTCAATAGTTCACTTTTCCTCCAAATCTCTGCATTGCTGTGTCTTTTATGATGAGAATTTTGAAATGAAAAACATTGCTTATGTCATGGATTTATCTGTTATTTCAGGCACTGGCTAAACCTTCTCAAGAAAGTCGACAGAACCTATCTATGGTATCAAGAAAAGTTGCCAATGCTGTCACAGAATTGATTCAGTCAGCTGAAGCTATCAAAGGTAAATATGGCTTGATTTTGCTTCTTTTTTTATCTCCTTTTTTCAACACACTGTGTAGCTTATGACAACATTCAAGCATCTTGCTTACAATTTGGTGTTTTTTTAAAAAGATTTCAGAATTTTGAGATTAGAAACAAATTTTGTGTTCATTTCTAGAACAGGCCTAGTTAGGATTTGAATTTTGCTGTGCTTTATGGTTTTAAGACATTCATGTTATGCTTGCATAAGGACTTGGTCAACTTAGATTTGTAGGAGATTTTTTTGTTTATGAAAGTTACAATTTTCTAGTTATCAGAACCTTGATACCTCTTCAGTTTCTTTCCATGTCATATTATATATAAAAATCTATTTTAGTCTACACTTTACTATTTCTCTTGTTATTGACCAAGTTTCCCATTTTTTCTGCTATAGAGCTTTTAAGCTTAAAGGATTAGATTAAAGAAATCCTTTGCTTCTTGCACTTGTTATTTTACATGATCAAGCATAGGAATAGGGTGGCAAAACATCTTGAAAAATATTTTGAAAAGGTGATCAATTATTATCACATCAATCTACAAGAAGGAGCTATTTTGAATGGAGTGAATGGAAATTAGGAAATGTAAATTCAACAGAAGCTGAAGATCTGAATGATACACTTGAGAACAGAGTTGTAACTTGGTATGGATAATCTGAAAAAGATCTATGCCAAAATTTTAGACCGAGGACCAGCTACAAAGGATCGACATGACCTTAAAAGTGGTTATCGTTGTAAGAAAATATATAATACCCCTACAAGAGAAATATGAAGGGTAGACTAAAATCATAATTACCATCACTCACTCATTATATTAGATACTGTAGGATACTAGTGGAATGTATATCACATTTATTCAAACTATTTATCCTATATATTAGATATTTATCCATTATTCATATTAGATATTATATATATTTTATTATCAGATTGCATTCCGCGATTAAGAAGAGGTCTGTTTAAACAATGTTTTCAATGTTGTTTCTTTATTTGCTTTTATTTAGTTGCACAGTTTTCGTGGTACATCCTCCTTTATTCATATTATTTTATGTTTCTGTTCATATTATGGCTTATTTCTTAGTTGATAAGGAACTAGGTTCTACTATTGTATTAGTCAAATGAGGAAAATACCACTTCACATTTTAGCAAGTAGTTAATAAGTTTCCTGACCCATGTTAACTTATCTTGGTCTCCTGGTTATTTCTTTCTGAATTTAGCCTTAACCCAAATCTTTAGGCTTGTGGTTCTTTGTTTTCCTGAAAAATTATGACAGTAAATTATTCAGGTCTGAAAAATGCATTGCAGACAATGACATTCTCATAACTCATTTGTATTTAGACCAGACATTCTCATAACTCAATTCTATTTAGACCAGACATTCTCATAACTCATTTCTATTTTGACCAGACATTCTCGTGATCCATTTCTGCTTAGACCAGACATTCTCATAACTCTATGACATATCTATTTAGACCATGTATTCTCCTTACTCTATCATATTCCAGACATTCTCATAATTCAATGGCATTTCTATTAAGACCAGACATTCTCATAATTCTATGGCATTTCTATTTAAACCAGACATTTTTGTAACTCAATGACATTCCTATTAAGACCAGACATTCTCATAATTCTATGGCATTTCTATTTAGACCAGACATTTTCATAACTCAATGACATTTCCATTAAGATCAAACATTCTCATAACTCTATGACATTCTAAAACATTTCTATATACATCAGACATTCTCATAAGTTTTTGGCATTTCCTTACAGACTAGACATCCTCAAAACTTTGGCATTTCCATATAGAAAAGACATTCTCAAAACTCTATGACATTTCTTTTTAGACCAGACATTCTCAAAACTGTATGACATTTCTTTTTAGACCAGACATTCTCATAACTCAATTACTTTTCTTTGTAGACCAGACATTCTCATAACTCAATGATATTTCTTTTTAGACCAGACATTCTCGTAAGTCTATGAATTCAATCTTTTTTAACAATCTATTTATACCTTTTCACTGATATGTCTATTAAGACAAGACAGTCTCCATTACATCCAGACAGTCTCTTCTCTATGACACTATGTTAATCCAGTGTATACATTTTGACAGTGTCATAACTCAATAAGAATTATATTTTTACCAGACTCTTCTTTGGATAAGACAATCTAGTAGGTCATTGAGATACTTTCTTATCAAGACCAGACATTCTCATTGGACTAGTTGACATACTCATAGATCAATGGCAATTCCATTACATTTTCTAAACTATTGTAGAAATGCAATGTGGTTTGTGGCAACTCCTTTACAAGAACCTTATTAATATTTGGAATTTAGCCTTTCATTTGTAGTTGAATCATTTAGTTAGATTTTTATTTTTTCTTCCTTTCATTAGATATTGTCAGTTTATATTCATTTCAGAATTACCCCCCTTCCTTCCCTTTCTTTCATAAAAATATAGGATATGAATAAAAAAAAAAACTTTTTTATTGAATTAAAATGTTTGTGTCAACCCTTTTATTCTCAGATTCAATAGAAATTCGGTGGTCGTATTATATACCAGGTAAATGAAAGCTTGTTTATTGACAAGAACTGTAACTAATAAATAAGATTAATGATAACCAATATTAGTGTAGAATTAGTGAACAACGGAATTTGCAATATAATAATAAAAGACCAAGTTACAACTTGACTTGATATATCTTGTTGCAGCATGTCCACATTTCAGCTTAATACCCTGTGTCCTCATTAGAAACCGCCTTCTTTTAAAGGAGGTCTAAATGAGTTTTTGATATGACTGTAGTTTATTTGTGTTGATTGTTATGTTAAAAAGTGTGTGTTGACGACCATTCACAAGTTTAACTGTAAATTCTTTCTATTATTGAATTAGTTTCCCTTCCCACCTCAAATACTATAGAAAAATGATATCTGGCAAGTTAATAGCCTGCGACCCTCAAGTATTTTTCCCTACCAGCTCTTCAAAGTTGAAGTTAGTTTTCTGCATGATAATTGATCCTTTATGAAATATTGTGTTTATGTTTGGTATTGTGTGTGATCACAATCTATTTTGTATGGGATCATTTGTAAAGATTAACATAGTTTATAACTCTCCCCAGCATGGTGTGTCGGCATGACAATCAAACCTTAGTAACAATTTCATTTGAAATAAATAGTCAATAGGAACAGAATAATCAAAAGATCTACATAACAAACATTAGTCTCAATACCCAAATAAAATATCAATTTATCCTCATGATAGATAACAGACATAAATAGGTGAGAAGAAATTTATCGGAAAGTTACTTTTTACTGGATTGATATATCTGTAGTCTAAATCTGTATTAAATTGAAGTCAAAGGCATGAAAAGAATGATATGATGATTTATAAGATATATATTCCTGAGGTTTAGTCGTGATATATTAGGGTAGAAAATCTTATATACACACTAATACTTAGACAATAGAGAGTATACCTGTTTTAACATGTTTAACCGAGCGTGTATGATCTTGATATCTTTAAGGAGACATTGACACAATTATATCTGACTTATCCAAATACCTCTTTTATCACCCACGCCTTTTATATACGGTTTTATTTTAAGTACTGTGGCTAATTGATTATTTTTATGCTCATAATCAGTGTTCTACTCTTTGTCCAATTCTCTCCCATTTAGAGTTTAGTTGTATTTTATTTGGTTAGAGGATGCTTAGATTTCTGAAGCACTGCTTTAAGAAAATTATATATCATATAGTTTGTTTTTTCACCATATAATTTTTATATTTTATTTTCCATTTCGTATAAAATCAAATGCAAAGGGCAAAAATTAAATATATTTCTTAAATATTTGAAAGCTCAAATTACTCAAAAATTGGAGAATACGTGTGTACAAGGGTAAATAAAGTACTAAAACCCTATGAACTAGTATCTGTAGATAAGTAATTTTACTAGGTTTATGTCATTAGTATGGAGTGGTGTGTTAACAGTCAATGTTTGTTAAACTTAATGTACTTCTAAACATTTTCTTTCATCCACACATGCAATAGACAAAGTATGCAAATTAGGTCAAAGTAAAATCCAAACACTATTTATATTAGAGAACAAGTGAACTCCCAGACCCAAACTAAAATATTTTACTTTTGAAGCTCTTATGCAAATTTTTTACCATATGCAGATTTTATGGCAACCTGGGCAGCAGTCCCATTATCTCTTGAAAAATTTGTATCGTGTTTTGACTCATTAAGTGTCCAATCAAATAAGCCATATAAACAATTCTTATTATAGATTTTACTTAGCACACCTGACATTTCTCAGTATACAGAGTATTATTATAATACAAGATTTACATTATCTTTATCAATATTATTATCAGGTCAAGAATGGGTAGATCCTGATGATCCTACAGTTATAGCTGAAAATGAATTGTTGGGTGCTGCTAACTCTATAGAAGCTGCAGCTAAGAAGTTAGCCAGTTTGAAACCAAGACAAGCTGCTAGAGTAAGTATTTATATTGCTGCATTGTTTGATACCTAGCTATTGTTTGTCTTTTTGAAATTATGATATTGTATATTGTGATCAAGTGGCAACTGTATTGTATCTCGAAATGTTATATGACTCTAAAGCTTAAATTCTTCAAGATTTGCATATTTAAAGTGTGTTTAAATATATTATATAACAAAACGTTACTAATATATGTAATGTGTTTTGCTGTGTTGTGTGGAATTTTGATGTCTACTAGTCTGAGATGTCTAGCTAGTGTTGTCTAGTGATCCAGTCTTGCACCAAGGGCAGACAAATGTTTGAAGAGTTTGCTGATCTCTGTTAGATATGTTTGATATAATTGGTGGTTAATGGTTAAAAGTCCACCAAGTATCAAACATGTCACTACAGAGGTCTGTCCTTTCACCTACCAAACCACCATCATATGATGCACCACCAAATTGTGTTTCTGCTGTAGCACCAATGTGAAGCTTCATGTTTATTCCTCTTATTCATGCTTGTGGGATATAAGTCATTCCTTTTAGGACATTTTTGACTTCAATTCATTATCTTTACCTATTCAACTTTTGTTTTAATTTAAATTAAAATATCATCAACTCAAAATTTATATTTTTGGTGTCCAGAAATTGCTTAAACTTTCTTTATCCTGTTGATTTGATATTTTTTAAATCTTTGGTTTTATAGCAAGCAGATGAAAATTTGAATTTTGAAGAACAAATTTTAGATGCTGCAAAATGTATTGCAGCTGCAACAGCTGCTCTTGTCAAGTCTGCTTCTGCTGCACAAAGGGAATTGGTTGCACAAGGAAAGGTGGGAATATGTTTCATTTTCTTCTTTGAATGTCCTGCATTGATCCTGCAATATCATCATTTTCATTCAATTAACATTGATTGCCTCGATACAGAGTAATGAAAACCATTCCATAGATTAGCAATCTAGTTTTTGATGTGCTTTTTGGGTTTGCAGTTAGTGTTTTTGTTTTGTTCAATTTGTTGATGTGATGTTTACCTTGTTTGTTTAATTTTGTTACAGGTTGGATCTACGTTCCACCGTCATACCTTAGATGAAGATGGTCAATGGTCACAAGGTCTAATCTCAGCTGTAGGTTTCAATGATTTTAATATTTTGATTTAATGGCATTTAGTAAAAGATCTTTGTCGATGCAGAGAAAACAGAATATCTTTTTTGATGTGATTGCAAGCTCACAAAATGCCATGCAATAAGAATATAATTTCAGTGTTGGATAATCTAAAATTAAGAGTCTGGAACAATTGCTTGGCTACATTGGAAACCTAATTTTTGCCCTTTAAGTCAATGTGATTAGTTTAAGACCATGTGGTAAAAAGTAATGTTTTTAAATGGTTAAATATATTGATATCTTTCAGGCAAAAATGGTAGCAGCAGCTACACATAGTTTGTGTGAATCTGCTAATGCTATGGTACAAGGTCATGCTACTGAAGAGAAACTAATAGCATCAGCTAAACAGGTAGCTGGTTCTACTGCCCAGTTATTGATGGCTTGTAAAGTGAAAGCTGACCCAGGATCTGTTGCTATGCAGAGATTACAGGTAATTTTTTATGGATTAACCATATGAAAGTTATGATAAAAGCCTGCCAAGATGTTAATGCACATCAGAGTGTGATTCAAAACATCATCAAACACAGAGCTAGCTTGTAATGTTCAAACTGGTCTGCATTTATTCTACTCTAAAATAACATTGTAAAATATATGTTAATAATGTACTTGTTTGCAGGCTGCTGGTAATGCTGTTAAAAGAGCAACAGAGGCTTTAGTAAGATCTGCCCAACAAGCACAAGATTATGTTGATGATACAAGTGTTACTGTTGATAAACGTCTAGTTGGTGGTATTGCTAGGGTAAGTAGAATATTTTTATTCAGAAGATCAACAAAATGAGATGTTGAGTTGACAACCCAATTTGAGAATTGCATGATCCTGTAAATACTGGATATCTCTGAGTATAGTGCACAGGGCTTGCAGTGCAAAGCAATCTTTGGACTTCTTTTCAAGAGGTTAAAGCTAATAGGTTGAAGAATGCCCTTGGAAAGTCTTGTCCATGACCTTTAGATTTAATTTTTTATGGCAGCATCTTTAACCTAATATTGTGGGGAAAAAATGATGGTATTTCATGGAATGTTCTGCATCTTAAATTGTGCTTGTCATTATTTCAGGACATAATGGCACAAGAAGAAGTTCTGAGAAAGGAAAAAGAATTAGCTGATGCAAGAAAGAAATTAGCGTTGGTCCGTCGAGAACGATATAAAGATAGACCAGACGAATATGATTCATCCTCATCATTTTAAAATACTATTTATCATATCTTCATTAATCATCATGGTGCCTCATTATCACATGCTTCCTACGCAATGTCATAATAGTAAAAATCACTGTAGATATAATATACACGTAGAGCTATTTACGACAATAAAATTATTTTCATATTCTACGTAGACCAATAGGCATAGTAGTTCAAATAATCAAATAGCAGTGCTAATTATTTTCATAATTTTTTTTTGTATGGAACGAATTCACTTCCAAAAGAGGACATAAACAATGGTTGTCATAGCAACTAGCAGGAGTAGAAAAATAATGAATTGTACAAGTTGTATAGTAGCCAATAAATCACAAATTATTATTATTATTATTATTATTCATACTATATGGACTTATTGTATGGTTTTAAAACTATATTATGTTGATGTGTATTTAATTTGTTATTTTCTAGACAATGTTATTTAGTTTTTATCTTTTTCTATCAATATGTTCTGGGATATTCCTTTGAAAGTTTTATGTCTAGGCTTCAATTAATCAAATATCAATTATCACAGAATGGGATGTTTTCTCAAAAATTTACCGGGACATAAATGGAGTTATTGTTTGAATTGAATTTTGAAGACATATCCCTTGAAAATGAATTTAAAACTAGGTAATAGTGACATTCTTTATTTATTATGATAGAAGTTGATCTAGTGTTAAGGATCTGAGAATTTAGAGAGTAGCTTAGCTTTTGGTGTGTTTGATACGGAAGATATTTTAAATTTTTGCATTTAGGCTCTAGGTATAATGAAAGATGGAAGAGTGTGAACTTGCCATTTGTCAAATTATTATTACTGCTTTAATTAATTTAATACTCAATGTATTCAACTGTTTAAACATTACTAAACATATCTTATTTATATTCGGTATTGCTTACATTGATATGCTTTATTTCCATAAAATTTATTTGGCCATTACATGGTAGTAAAGAGCAGATACCATATAATTGTGAATATAATGCGCGGGCATGTACAATACGCACCCAGTTTAAATCTCAGAAAATCTAGGAGGAAAACCAGAATAAAATAAAACCACTTGTTGAATAAATTAGGTTTACCTACTGAATTTGTATTTCCAGAATACAACAATCCTTTTTAATTCACATCTTAGAATTGAATGTATCTTCTCTATTGTTATGTTATGAAAAATCCATGCAGTGCATTTGAAAAAATTAGGATCAATTTATTTATTTAGGCTGAAATACATATTATTGTATAAAGCATATTTGCATATCAATTTTTATGTAGCTTAGTTGTCTTTGTACAATAAAAGATATATACATACTTAATGTGTTAGTAATCCTCAGTAAACATAGAAGGGTGGGTAGAAACTCTGCATGGCACTGGGTGATAGGGGTGTTTCTTCAGGACATTTTCTTGTTCCTTTATTTTTCCCGTATAGGAATGCAGATTGAAGCAGGGCTTTTTGCAAATTTGAAAGGACTGGAAAGTTAACCTCACAGCACATCACATTTAAGAAGATCACATTAAATGCTCAAATACTCAGAATGCCCATCCCCTCCCCCCCTCCCCCAACCCTTTGAAAAATTCTGAAAACCTACCAATTTAATTATTTCAACTATAGACCCTAACGCATTGCCCCTCTAGATATATTACTTGCTCTCTTGAAGAATCACGTCTGGCTTTCATTTCATTCATTTGCATGATTTTCAAGAAATTTAACTAGGACGTGGTCTCTTCCATGAGTCGGCAATTGGCCTCTGTAAAATGCTTACCAACCAGCTGATCGATGTAATTTGGCTTCTGTAAATTGGGTGTCAAATGACAGCAACGGCAATTAGCCACGACGTGATCAAAGAAGGGCCCCGAAAATTACATTTTAGCACCTTGTCATACAGGTAAGAAACTGCATCGATCAAGCAGAGAGTTACACTGTTCAATATCTATGGTCTTGAAGTCGCTAAGAGGTGATCGTAATACAATATGGAATCATGATCCATTGAAAGTCTTGAGAAACCTCTGAAAAGTGATCTAGCTTTTCTTTTTTTTTTTTAACCAGCAGATATATTAGATTAAAATTTTCTGGGTGCAAATCATACTGCAAGTTTGTAAGGAGAATGGGGTGCAGCATTTTGATTTTTAATGGCTTCAGAACCAACCATAGTTAATTTTTTACATGTGGGTAGCCCCAGCTCCAGTAGGCCTAACCTAGTAAACCAACAGTCCAGGAATATCAATAGTCGTACATTGTAAGTAAGTCGGAAAAGGAAAACACTACCAGCTCTTGTAGATCTGGTTAAATATATTTTGCAAGGCAAGATAACGAACGCACACCAGCTGCAGAAGCTGCTGGTAGTGTTTTGCTTTTTCGTCAGTGGCGGTGCCAACCTTCCGAGACTGAGGGTACAAAATAAAGGGAGCAAACCACTTTTTTCACTAGCTCCGCTACTGAGAAGCCTCGTCATACTCAGAGTCGAGGAAGCAGGTGGGTTTTAAAACCCTACCGCCCATAAGTTCTTCTAATCCTACTCAAAAATGCTGATATTAAAACAATATAGACCAAGGCCAATAATTATAAAAGCCTCAAGTACTAACCACAAAACCAAACTCAAACCAACATAAATATATTCGCATTGCTCTCAAACCATCTTCATTTTATATTTTATATGATAGGTCTACCTAAATAGCCTAGAGATACAAGTATAAGGTATAAGACTCTAGTTTCTATAATGCTAACAAGCTAATTTTGTTGCTATTTCCCATAGCCAAGGGCAATAATTTCGAAACCGTTCATCGGAACAACTTCAACTTTGAACACAACCACAATATCAATCATTATATAGGCCTATCCAAATGGACTTAAGTTATTGAGTTTTAAATCTAATTTTCGCTTATTCAAGAACAAAAACCCACTGTACGTCGAAACGTCAACTCTGACTCTGAACCCTGCCAAGTTTCATGTGCTGATGTGGGCGTATAAAACCGAACGGCGAAAAGCGGCAATAATACACCAGTGTATTCCAAAACTGAACTAGATATCCACAATCAGCAAAAAAAGTAAATAAATTAAAAATGATCTTAACAATTAATTCATGAATTTTGAAAATTACATTATCCTCTAGGCCTAATTTAATGAAATAATTATACAAAAAAATATCATTCTTTCAATGTTGTTCAATGTAGGACCTCGTGTGACACGCGCGAACAGGTGAATGACAACGCAGTGCACTATGGGTAAATTGAAGTCCACATGTCACGGACGCCATTACACATGTTAGAAAACTTCGCGGGAAAGTTTTTAGAGTTTGGAAAGTTTTAGTTCTGATTTAAATGCACGTTCGCCCCTATCACATTGATAAACCTAACATTCTAAAATATAATTAGAATAGTTGGCAAGGTTGGTGTGGCTGTCAGTGTAAATCCAAAAGGAGAAATGTCAAGTGGTAAGTAGGACAGTCCGACTTGAAAATGAAGATTGCCATCGGCATCGTGTGTTGGTTCAGCCAAATGGACTGTCCTCATGTCAGGCGGAAGTGAAAATTTATTTCAAGTTGATTGTTATATTAGATCTAGTGGCCTGTTGTCAGTGGTATATGCTACACGTTGATCAATTTTGTCATTAACACTTTGTAAAAAAATGTGTGTCGGCTGTGCTGTGGTGTGTACATGTCGAGTCTATGAGCTTTTTTTTAGTTTCATGTCGGTGTCACTTTTGATTGCATCAAGCAGTAAATGGAATATTGTCTCTTATTGAATGAACGTTATTTGGTTATTAGTCAACTCCATGTATAATGTAGATTAGGCCTATCTATCGATTAGGTTTCAGTGAGGCTTTCAACAAATTTCGCTACCAGGACAACTCGTAACATAGTGGCATGCCTTTATGGTCTGATAATGATATTATAGTTTTGAATTGGGCATGGCATGATTACATAATTAATGACTTTGTTTACACATTAGGTTAGCAGTTTTAAATTAAAGTGCACATGCTGACAATCAATCTCGCTATTTCAGATTTTCAAATATCTCTAAATAAATAGTCCCCCCTCAGCCCTGATAGATGCAGGTTAGTCAGGTTGCAATGAACAATCTCTAAAGCCTTTTGTTGTTCAGGTGTTCAAAGTAGGTGACTTCAGAGAGGCATCATGGGCTGTGCAGATCCTTTAATTATTAGAAATACTCTAAATTGATTTTCTTACACATAGCCTATTAATTAATTACATATTAAATTTGCATTACCTTAGTTATTACTCAAGCAGATGTTGAGTGGGTAGCAAAATTGAACATAAATCACATTGATTTCCTTATAAATATTGTCTATTGAATTTGAATGAAATTGTATTATTTGTTTATTGAAATGTTTACTTGTTATTGTAGAAGGTATTGTTTGTTTAATTTGAGTGCAAGATTGGATTGACATGAAATTGCTGGATGGACTGGAACTTGTGCAATGCAGAATTTGATATGTATTGCACTTGTCCCGGCCTTTCTACAATTTTTATTCTCCTTTTTCTGTTTTCGAAATCTCTGTTTGGCCGAAGAAAAGCTTTTACCGGTACTGGTATGTCCTATGCAGATTTAAATTCAAGGGTTTGATTAATCTTTGTTAGCTAATAGATTGGGCAAAGGATGAGTTATTGCCCTTGACTTAACTAATGGTTCAAAATTTGCTAAATGATCGTAAGAGTTTCAACATCTATGAAGATTCTATTCTTAATGAATTTTCTTTAACAGGTTTGTTGAGCCATCACCTTTGATGTAGACTTGATGACAAAGTTGACAATCCAACTCCTTATCAAATAAAGTATCCCATTACCCCCAACAGCTATTTGTATGCAAGCTTATATTTGGTTCTTATAGTTTTTTTTTTTTTTACTCTGTCTGTACTTTAATGCGTATCCAAACCTGTGAAGAGTTGTCAACTTTCTGGCAACTTCTTCACTAAGACATGCTAAAGAATAAATCTTCCGTGTCGAGAGACAAACCAGCACCTTATAATGGCTAATATTTTGTATGTTATCCATTATACCTGTATTGCACATATAAATTATAAAGTGTGATGTTAAAACTGTGAAAACTCTGGGTGATGTGATGTGAGATATAGGTAAATAACAGTACCCTGTGGTAATATATGACCCTTACTTGATCAAACTGGATAAACAATAGGCACAGTTAAGTAGTTGACAAAGACATTTTCTAGTAGTAGTTTTATTACATGGACATTCAAATATCGCAATAGACAATGTCACGGATGACCAATCTTTCACA